CTGTCTCTTTTCCCTGACTCTCCAGGGTATCTCCTTCAGAAATTTTACTTCATTCCCCTGGATAGTTACTTTTTTCCCTTCTGCTAGTTTGAGCACTTTCTCTCTAGTGTCTCTTTTATAGAATTTGATGTGTGTTTCTCTAGGTATCTTGTGTCTACGCGTATATGCTGAATTTCTTCGATATGTGGACTCTATTTCTTGTATCATTTCCTCCTTTGTTCCAATTTCTAATTGTTCCGCCAGATTTTCAGCTATCACTTCTTTCAAATTCATTTCCATTTTTTCAGGGATGTTTTGACATCTTACAATTAGCATTGCTTTCTCCATTTCTATATTAATCAAAGATTCTTCCATTTTATCTGCCCTTAATTTCATTTCTTGCATTTCATATTCCAAATCATTAACTTGTTTTTCTGTTTTAAAGCTTTTACTTGAGATTTTCTGAATTTCTTGTCTATTTTCATGTATCTGTCTTTTAATTTCTTGCGTTTCTGCTTTAACATGTTCGGTTAATGTGTCTATTTTATCGTGTAATGGATTAATTTCTTTTTTCATCATTTCTGTCATTGTCTCTTGCATTAGTGTTACCCAATATTTTGCAGTCAGTTGCGATAGGTTTGTGGTGCTTGCTTTCATGAAGTGCATCCCTATATTGCCTGGGGAGGTTAACGATGGTTTCCTATTACCTGAAGCCATTTTGTTTCTTTCGCTATCTGTCCCTCTCTTTATTTTCACTTCTTATCTATCCCCCTTTTCTTTCACCGTGGCTTCCTTTCTATTCAGTATTTCCCCAAAATACTTTAGAATGTTTACAATCTTCCTGTAATTTTCCTGCAAATCTTTTTACAGATTTACCTAATCTTCTTCTATTCTCAGTTATTCAGATCAAATCCAGTTAATCCAGTTAATCAAATTATTCAAATCAATATTCAAGTCAATTTCCTCCTTAGTCTCTTGCTCTACCCCCTATTGTGTTTTTCTCAGTCTCTATATTCTTTTCTTTAACTCAATCTTATCAATCACTTATGTCCATTATATATTATTTATCTTCTAATCTGTTTCGCCTCAAGGTTCCTCGGCTCCGTCAATTTGTTCTCCGGGTCACTCTAGCTTTCTGTCTCTCTGCTCCGTTTCTCTGTCTCTCTGATTCTCCGCACTCCGCACTCCGTGGCTCCGTCGTTCCTCAGCCTCTCCGTCTCCATCGCTCCGACACTCCCACACTCCGTCACTCAGACTCTCCGCCCTCTGCCGTTCTGTCACTCCGTCACTACGCCCCTCTGGATACCACGCCCCTGGATCTGCTGCTCTGCTGCTTTCCTCTGATGTGCCTCGTCATTTAATGGCGCTGTTAAAGGCACAGCGTCCCGGCTTTTTCGCTCCGCAGCAACCTCCGGAAAGAAGAAAAAAGAACACAAGCCTCGATTCAAGCAATATTTCTCCACTTATCCCCTACAGGTATCAGTATCTACTTTGTCCTTTCCCCCCCTTTTCACAATTTAATTGTGCCCCTTTTGTTTCCCCTATTAACGTTTTACAGCTGTTTATCCGGAGCACCTTTCTCTGTGATTTCTTTCTGGGTGGTCTGTTAATTCTAGCGTTCCATCCCACTTTCCCCTTCTCACTGCAAAGCTGGCAGTTTTCTCTAGATACTTAGCTTCAGAATCTCTTGCTTTCACGATGACTCCTGCTTGCTTCAGGTCCCACTTGTGCTCGGCGTCTGCCGTGCCTTCTGGTATCTCTCGCTTCAGGGTTGAGGTCGAGCTCTCCGGTTGTTTGCCTGGCCCCCGAAGTACAACCTAATCACCCCTTGCCTTGCTCCCTCTTCATGGGAGCAGTTGAGGCGTTGAACTCCGCCTAAGAGACTCCAAAACCTATAGTTTTCCGGAGCTCTGCTGACTACAGCTCCGTCTTTCGTCGGACCGCCGCCATCTCACATCAGCTTACTTCTTGTTGATATTATGGCTGGGAGAGGACAGAGAGCGCTAGGAAAAAACCTGGTGACCGGAAATAACACAACAACGACTCCCTCCCAGAACCAGGAAGCATCTACAGACTTTTCTTCGCTGTTAGCAAATGCACTGCACCCTCTAATGGAGCAGATGACTACTCTCAACACCAAACTGGACAATGTACAAAAACAGCAAAAACAAATGGACAAGAGAACTACAGCAACTGAGAAAACATTGAAAAAAATGGAAAAACAGACTGAGAGTATTAATAAAAGAGTGGATGAAGCAGAGAAGGAGAGATCCTCGGATAAAACACAACTAATACAACTCCAGCTGGAAAGATCTATGTATGTTTTACATTTCCATGGAATACCTGAGGATAAGAATGAGGACTTAAAGGAACTTTTGGAGGTTTAATGTAAAATGTTTAATGTAAAAAAGAAGCAGAAGGAAAAGAATCTAAAAACGGATGCGGAGGAAGAAGAAGAAGAAGAGGATGAGTCCTACTCACAGGACTCAACAAGCCAAATTTCCTCGTCATCAGAATAATCTGAACTGGATAAAGGAGCGGCTGCTCCCAAGCTGCAGAAAATGAAGAAATCTAAGAAGAAAAGACTCTAAAACTAAAGCATGAGTGCTAAGGGCAGAAATTGTGCTATGCTAATAACTTTTTACTTTTTATAATCTAACTAATCTCTGTATAATCAATACTAACAGGTTAAAAAGATCTATTTTTAAGCTTTTCAGATCGCGATTTGTATTAGTCTTTATCCCTTCCCCATATCCAGTAGAAGATTTAGAATAGAATTGTAGTTGTTCCTTCCCCTATCCAGTAGATTATATGTATTTAGAATCCCCTGACCCATTTCCCATAGTAATAGGGCATTAGTATTCCTTTCACCATTCCATACATGTAGTGTGTAGAAAATGCAAAAATAAAAAATCCCCCTTCGGGGGGCCAAAAAAAGAAAAGAAAAAAAGAGGTCACCTCCAGTTCTTGAGAGGTTGGCTTCTGCTAAGATTTCTCCTTTACCTCTCAAATGAGAGGGGAGGAGTATCCAGCTTATTGTGGCTGTCTGTGAATTCTGTTCATCATAGCTTCTTATGCTCACCTCCCTTACCATTATCAACATCTTCCCTGATGGACTAGATTATATCCAAGCTGTAGGAACAGGGCTGAGCAAACTTTACAGCTTTGGAATTGTAGCTCTGTTTCTAGTAGTTTTCTTGAAACTCATTTGCAACTGGAATTGCCATACCAAAACTGCCCACAGCTGTCAACGCTGTAATATTTAACTAGAATGGTCCCCCTGCTTCCTACACCCCTCGCCTATGAACTTTGGAAATCACTGTTGCCTGTTGAGGCGTATCAGTTGCAATACTATTGCTACGTTTATTACGTTTATACCTTCAGGTAAAAAATAAGTATGTGTTTTCACTAGCATCTGACAGTTATCTAGAGAATCTGAAAGCTTTTCTTGTTTCAGGTGTCTCCCTATGATAATAACCCTTGCACACCTTGTGAATGTGATTTATTTGGGTCTTTAGGATTTGACTGTGTTAAGGATGATGATCATGCTGAGCTACGGCATGGTAAGTGACTATAAAATTCACATTGACTAAATATCAATTTAGGGAACTATGCATGTGGTAGAACATTGAACGTTAAGGCCAGTTCTGACACAATTAGACTTTCACTGTAGTTATATGCCTGAGATTTAGGAGCTAACACAATACCAATTTTTAAAAAGAGGATCTGGAGTAACAGACTAATTAGCTTAATTTCTGTGCTGAGCAAATTGATGTAAAGTATTATTAAAGTTAGAATTATTTAAACTTCTAGAAAAATAGGCCTTGCTGAAGAGAAATTGGCATGATTTATGTGAAGGGAGGTTCTGCCTCACTAAATATCTAGAGTTTTTGAAAATATCAAAAACATGTGGATAGATGGTGCTTAGTCGGTATTATGCTTCTGAGACTAGGGATGGGTACAAACTGGGAAAATGGAGGTTTGTCCTGTGGTTTGTGACCATGAACCATGAAACTTCACGAACCTCCTCATTTAGCAAACTGGTTCATTTCATGAGGTTTATCATGTGGTAGGAGTGTCTTTCCTCATTCCTTTCTGCTGGCAGTGGCTCCCTAAGGCCAGCAGAATGGAAAGGATTTCCTGGGAAGGGAGTTCTTCTCCCCCACCTTTCTTCTGGCAGCAGCTCCCCAAGGACAGCAGAATGGAAGGGTGGGGAGATCTTGCCGTGCATGAGTTCAAGTGGTGAATTCACCACTTCCAGGTAAACTCGCCGCTTGGACTTCGCTCATGCACGGTGCCACTTGGAAAAGCCATTTAGAGGGAATGCTTGGAAGCAGGGGGAAGTGAAAGGGATCGCTGAAATGGCTTGCGTCTATTTCAGCCTAACATCTGACAGTTGCACCAGCCCTGCTGCTAGGCTGAAATGAATGCAAGCCATTTCAGTGATCCCTCTTGCTCCCCCCCCTCTTCCCACCATGAACCCCATGAACCAAGTGAAGGGTTGTGGATAGCGGAACCGGCTATGTTCATCACGAAATTAGATTCGTGATGAGGTTCATGCCCATCCCTAATTGAGACTCCTAATTTGTGCCTGCCTAGCTGGCCCTGTGTGTGTGGAACAGGCAGCACTTCTGAGAAGGCTACATTGGAGATCCTGGCCTTGAGTCTCCTGCCTAGCAACCTAAATTTTTCCTCCAGGACCACACGTGTAAGGTAAGCAGTGAAGTGGCCATGTTTGCACATGGCATCAAATTACTCAGAATGCTGAAAGCTCAAACAAACTGAGTTATCTAAACTGGATGAGACCCAACAAAACACCAAGTAATATTAGTTGTAAGTAAGTGTGAAGTGATGCACTTGGGGTGGGGAAACATATTTCAGATACACACTAATAGGTTGTGAATTGGTAAGACATTTTGGAGATTATGGTGGAGAGAGATTTCTATTGACCAGGAAAAGAGGTTACCAGTTTGCTGATTCTGATGATGGTGGTATTTTTCACCACAAAATTGACCACAAAAGGTCACTGAATATATTACAAGGTAAGTGAGGATCTAAACCTGGATCACTGCACTATACCTTGCTGTCTCTAATTAAGTTTGCAGCATCTCATATACTTCATTTTAATACTGCTGCTATAGAGAATTTATGCTCTGAAACTCCATCTCATTTTAATACTGCTGCTATAGAGAATTGGAGCTTTTCCATTTATGCTCTGAAACTCCTTTTTTCTAAGTAACACTCAGCCTGATGAATACTTCAACAGAACTCAGAAATTTTGGTTACTAATTAGGTTGGGATTGATAAAAAGATAGTAATTTGCCATTGTTTTTGCATTGTTGCACTAGACTCAGATAACCCAGGTTATATGTTTCCTGTTCTGTCAGGGCCTGATTTCTGTCAGGGCCTGAGAAGTCCTGTAACACAGCATGGAGAAGTGGGCCGAGTCTAGATTTGCCAGTGGGTGTGGGGTTTTTTGGAGGGTGTTTTTTTGCACTACTCAGCACTTTGGCATAAGACTTCCTTCTCTAGATCTGGAAGGGCTGATGTTAATCCCATGGGACTCAGACTTGACATACACCTGGTATGTTTTCTTGATCCCCCCAAAACTGTTCGTTCTTTCTTCTTCTTTAACTTTTCAAGGTGTTCACCCTGGTCAGTGCCGATGCAAGGAAGGTTATGCAGGAGAAAAATGTGATCATTGTGCCTTTGGCTACAAGGGTTATCCAAATTGTGTGCAATGTAACTGTAGCCTGGTTGGCAGCATTAATGATGACCCATGCACAGAACCTTGCCTTTGCAAAGTAAGTGTACAGTAGATTCTCTGTTTAATTTATTGTGAAATTTTGAAGTGGGATTTGTAAATTAATTTAATAAGGAAAAGTACTTTATTCATGGCAGACATCCCATTTTGTGACTAGCAATTAATTGAGGCTTAAATGGAGCCTCTGTGGATGGAGATTTAAATTAAGATTAATGGCATATCTCTCACAGTTTTTATGGTGGCATTAATGGTAAAATATGTGAGCAAACTTGTAAATATGATTAGGGTTGGAAAGGGTTGACTAAGGCTGAGTTCAGACTAGCAGTTTGCCCCGATATAGGCGCGTGTGAGGGACATTTTACAAGCAGATTAAAGGGGCCATTCACACAGGCACATCTGTCCGGCATTCCCCACCTGTACACAACCCGTCTTGTAACGCTTCACTTCCGAGTTTAAAAGATACCCGGTGAAAGTGGTAGCAAACCCTGGAGAGCCCATTTATCCCGCTTCATTCCACTTCCGGGAAGTGTGAACGCTAACTGCGAAAAGCCGGGAACAACCCGTGTTGATAATATGAATGAGCTGTTCCTGCAGGGATGCACAGAATGTGCAGTTGATTGCCCTGGAGAGGCAGCAGTGATGTGACTGAATGTGCGCTGCTCTACTGCCAAATGCAGGGTGGGGGCGGGCGCAGTGGGATCCTGCCCCAATTGCTGATGCACCCATGCGGCATGTCGCCAGAGTGAAAAATGGCCGCTTACAGCCACGCCTCCACCAGGGGCGGCCCAACAGTGTGAACGCTCCCTTGCACCTCCTCCCGGTATGCTCCCGCATCAGTCGACACAGTGTGACTGGGAAAACCCGGAACAGTTTGTTCCGGCTCTTTTTTGCCACGACTCCCTCCCACTTCAAAATGCCAGTCTGAACTTAGCCTAAGTAATATTATCAAGCAGTTAACACGGCAGTCCTGTGCATAGTTACTCCAGTCTAAGCCCACTGAAATTGACTGTACTGTGAAATCGAGGAGAGCAACATTGCTGGGACTGATGACAACAAAGGAAATCTTCACTTTTTCCTTTTATGCTTAACTCTCCAAGCTTGAAAGCTAGAAGCTTGCTTCCCCCCCCCCCAAAAAAAGAGAACTTCCCTTCCACTTGAGGTTCACCTGGCACTTACTTTATTGTCTTTTGGGTACTAGGCGAAAACAATCCTTTTTACCCAGATCTTTAGCTCTTTTTAAAGCTGTTATAATGGTCTGCTTCTAGCCTGAGAACTGTTTTATGAATTTCATTTTGGGTTCCTCACTGTTGTTTTATGCTGTTTTTATGTACCTAACTTGTTTACAATGGTTTATCGTAAATTGATTGCTTTTTAGTATTGATAATTTGTCAGTGCAGTCTTTATCCGAGTAACATCCCTCTAAGCCCATTTAAGCCTATTGAAAATAATATGTTTCTTTATGATTTTATCATTTTGTTTTTACATGTGAGCCTTCTCAATCAGGCCTCTGGAGAGGTGCCAGATTATTTTTCTAAATAAATAGAAAATAAATAACCTGGCATTCTTTTGATTCCACTGAGAACTGCAAAGTTTGTGAATCTTCCTTTTTACCCAGTCCTGAATTAAAACATGAAACTAAGAAATTAGTCAGATGAAGGTCGAAACATCTAATACAACTGAACACGATTCTTTTTGTGTTTCTGTTAGACTAATTAAAATGCATAGTATGATTTTATGAAACTATTCAAAATTATTCCAATGGGTAAGAAATGTATCCATTAGGAACTGATGGATTTTAATATATAGCTTTTAGAAAAGACAGGATGATGAAAGTCTTCTTGTAGTTGTTAGTAAAAAGTAAGGATGGGCACAAACCAGGAAATGCAGTTCAGTTTGTGGTGTGCCTGGTTCGCAAACCATAAACTGTCACGAACTTGTAGCCACCGAACAAACCAGTTCAGTTTGTGAGGTTTGTGACCTGGTAGAACAAACCTTGGCATGCTAGAGACACCAAACTCACAAAGGATCTCTGGCTGACTCTTCTCCACCTGCCCTTCAATTTTGGTGGGGATTGGATTTTCAGGGTCCAAGTTACAGCCTCCCCAAGAAGGTGCCCCCAGGAAAGTGCTTTCTGGGGAAATGACAGGTGTTCATTTTGACAGGTGCAGGCTGAGGAGGTTCAGGAGTGTATAGAACAGATCCTGTGCAAGCTAGAGACATCAAAGTTGCAGGGGATCTCCCCCAGATGCTTCTCTACATGCCGCCAAAGTTGTTTCACTTTGAAGTTTGGTAAAGATGTAGATTGAGCAGAGACATTCTGTCTGGAAATGTATCCGTTCATAAACCACCACACACAACTTGAACGTTCATGGAACTTCATGAACCATGAATGGCCAGAATTTGTCACGAACTTTAGTTTGTGAGCTGGTTTATGCCCAACCCTAGTAAACAGTCTTTTTCATTTATTTTGCGTGCACATTAGCTAGATATGAATAGAGTTGAATGGGAATATGTCTGCTGGCTCTACTCACAATAGTCGCACATTCTGTTAAATGTCTGCAGTAAGCCCCTGTACACAAGTGTTCTGCATGATAGTGACCCTGATTGTTATATTCATACTCACATAAGGGTTTGCTGTAGATGTTTAGCTGGGTATGTGATCAGTGTGGGTCACAACCAATGAAACCACTCACTCTTTAGTTGCTGTAGATTTTCCAGGATGTGTGGCCGTGGTCTTGGCATTGTAGAACCTGACGTTTCGCCAGTAACTGTGACTGGCATCCTCAGAGGTATAAACACAGAAAGATGGAATACTCTCTGTGTCAAGGTGAGAAGAAAATGGTAGGCAGTAAATGTATATCTAGTCCAGAATTTGGGTAGGGCTGAGTCATTGTCTTGTAGGAGTTCCCCAGGCTATGGACATGCTAATGGAGGAGCTTTCCTGAGGAGGTTCTTTTGTTTCCTGAGGTTTCCTGCTTCCTGAGGAGATTGTTGACATTCTAATCTTATCTGTAGTGCTATTGTCTTTTGTGTTTTTCAGGACAGGAAGCCATGTCCTATTTATTTTTAAACTCTCTTCTTTCCTGTTGAAATTATGTTTATGTTTGTGAATTTCAATGGCTTCCCTGTGTAATCTGACATGGTAATTGAAAGTGTTGTCCAACCTTTCATTGTCTTGGAACAAAATACTGTGTCCTGTTTGAGTTAGGCTATGTTCAGCCATTGCTGATTTTTCAGGTTGGCCAAGTCTGCAGTGTCTTTCATGTTCTTTTATTCTTGTCTGAATGCTACGCTGTGTGGTCCCAATGTAAACTTGTCCACAACTGCATGGTATGCAGTATACTCCTGCAGAAGTGAGGGGGTCTCTTCTGTCTTTTGCCGATCGAAGCATAAACATTAGTAGGCCATGCAAGTTGGATATTGGAACCCAAGCCTCTTTTTGCAGAAAAAACCCAGCAGGAACTCATTAGCATAATAGGCCACACCCAACAACAGAAACTCATTAGGATTGGCTACATTAGGGGTGTGTGGCCTAACATGCAAAGGAGTTCCTGGTATAAAAAAGCCCTGGGTTTTGACAACGAACAAGGCAAACAGAATAACAAGCAAAAGGCTGGATAACCACACTTCTGGTAACATGGGGGTGTGGCCTAATGTGCTAATGAGCTGTGCTGTCAGGGGTGTGGCCCAATATGCTAATGAGTTCCTGTTGTTGGGTGTGGCCTATTATGCTAATGAGTTCCTGCTGGGCTTTTTCTGCAAAAAGAGGCCTGGGTTCACATATCCGTCTTGCATGGTCTACTAATGTTTTGATTATGCCTCCCAATAGTAGACTCACTCCCTTCTATTCTTATTTAGTAAACGCATGCATGAAAGTCTTAATATTTTCAGTGTTGGTGGTATTGCAGTTACATTGTACTATATTGTAAATGGGAATGCTGAGCCTGTATAATTTTGATACCTGAAAAGATGGTGAAGATGACGGTTTGTTCTGTTACATTTTTCTCCTCGTGTTATGCAAGAACGCCTTCTAACGTGCAGTGTACACTGGTTATTCAGTATGGTAACCATAAATCAAGAATTATATGCTTTCTACAGGAAAATGTGGAAGGTGAAAACTGTGACCACTGCAAGCCAGGATTCTACAATCTTCAAGAAAGAAATCCCCAGGGTTGCACTGAATGTTTCTGTTTTGGGGTTTCTGATGTCTGTGAAAGCCTTCCATGGCCCATCAGTCAGGTAAACTACTGCTGGCATCACAGTGATTTTATTTATAAATTGCCTTTCTCACTGAGACTGAAGGCAGATCACATGAGATAGAACAATGTAATCAAACAGCACAAGTTATCTAATAAACTGTGCGATAGGACAGGGATTACAACAGTTAAGAAAACAATGCAGAAAGAGAAAGATATAACCCAGCACTTCCATCAGTTTTCTGCAGGCATCCCCACAAACTCACTTTCTTGTCTTTATTCCTCTAGGCCTTTCTTTCACATAGTTTCACTTAAATTTTCTTTTGCATAAACTATTCTATTTAAAATAGTAAATATAGGCATGCAATGGCATAGCTCTGGGTCAAGTTGAATCCAGAGGCTCACAGTTTCAGCATATGTTCCAGGAACCCTTATGTCTCTCTTGAGTAAAATCTTCAGAATAACTCACAGGAAACTGAAGAAGTTGCTTCTGTTTAGCTGCAGCAAACGTATTAAGAGTGAAATACTGTAACCCAAGCAAACCTTCACTGATATGCTCATGGTTGATAGAGTTACTATACAATTAATAAAATGAAATGATCATTCTCGGTTAACTTTAGAGGAGGTGAATTTGGATTGGTTATAAATTATGTGTAAAGGCTAACAAAATTGATTCTGGCATAAGCTTTTGTGAGTCAGACCTCTCTTTATCATGTATCTGATAAAGTTGGAATGTTTTCTGCTGCAATAAATTTTGTCAGTGCTACTGGAGTTGTGTCTGATTGTGCTGCAAAGGACTAACATGGCTATCCGTTTGGAATTATATTCAAGTGGGGGGACCCACTAGGACTTGTAGGCAGCATCTCATTTTTCGCTGTATCCCCCTATTTCCTCTCTCCTTACTCCTGAAAGTTGCCATAGACTCTCCCTCCCCTTGCTTCCTTTTGTCCCCATCCCTCAACCAACCTACCTTAATCTCCTCCCCAGTCTTTGTCTTTCTGTTCTCCCTCCCCAGCAGCCTCTCACCAGGAAAAGTTTGGCCAAGTTCTAAAAGTCATTTAGTAGCTTGGGTAAGTTCTGTAGTGGCTCTTCCCAGGGCCTAGTCAAGTTGCATAGTAGCAAGTGGGTGGGTAAGTTGTGTGTCGGGGAATCACTCAGTGGCTGCTGTTGGGCCAGGGTGAATTGTACAAGTTGCACAGTAGTGAGACTCTTGGATGAGTTATGTGGTGGCTTGTGTTGGGCCCTGGTGAGTCCTGTGGTAGTGAGTTACCTGGGTGAATTGTGCAGTGACTGCTGCCAGGACTGGCTGAATCATACAAGTGGCATGGTAGTGATTCACTTGGTGGCTACTGCTGGCCTTGGCAAGTACACTCTCCATCAGGGAATGTATATGGGGAGGAAGGTGGGCCCTTTGTGTAGCTGTTTTGGTATCCCCACGCAATCCTGCTCCAACCTCTACTGCCTGTGACTGAGAGAAGCCAAGCCTTGGAAAGCTCAACAATGTTACTGTTGCTGTTGCCAAGCGATCCCCAAACTGGCCACCAAGATCTCAGTACATAGTCTCACAAGATCTCAATGGTTATTCATTTCTAAAGCTGTATATGCTGCTTCTATTATTATGGGGGCTTTATCCCCAGTGTACTATTTTTGTATATTTCAGATTTTTCTGCAAATCTTGTACAGGTTTGTAAAAAAATACACTTCTGTCTATTCCTGGCTCCATTGTGTAGATTTTTTGATCCATACTCTATGGCCCGTTTCAGAATTCAATATAATGATTTATGCAGTGGGAAAATACTCTTTTATCTGTGCATTTTGTATATTAATTAGCTTTCTTAATCAGTTAAATAATAATGTCCTTTCTTTAAGGTATCTTCCATGGGAGGATGGATGGTGACTTCTCCGTATACCTCAAAAACTGTGCAACCTCAACAAGGGCAATTTGATGGACCTCACCAAATAAGTATTAATAACATAGCAGCTACAAAATTTCTGAAATCTCCTTATTACTGGTCTGCACCTCAGCCCTATCTTGGAAATAAAGTGAGCATCATTGTGTAACAGAGCTTTTAAAATTTTATCCACAATTTATGGTTTTACAATCTTGTATGTTTCATGTGTACAGTACTATGAACGTGTGTCAAGGTCATTAAGGCTATCAAAATAACTACTATAACTTTTCCTTGGACTCCTGTTCGGTCAGTGACAGTAAGCATTATTATTAATCAATCTGCTTTTTTCTCTTATTTGCCACAAATTTTGTTATTTCTGATTAGTGTGTGCATTAGTTTATCCTCCTCTACTGTCTTATCTTTTTTGCTTTATGACCTGATAATGGAGAAGGTCATTGTCCATATTTCTTTCATTTTGAGTTATTATCTTCAAAGTGCTTCACTTTTGAAGTGGATCCTTTTAGCAGGTATTCTTGGGTGGTGTTGGTCTGAGTATCTTCCCACTATTGGTATAGTAAGGGCTGTAGATGATAGTTTATCAATTGTTTCCTATTTATTTTTGCCAATACATGAATAAGCAATGCTTATGCTTTGGAAACATGGCAGGCATCAGCAAACTCAGAGATGGGGCAGTTGCCAAGGCCCAGGTCTTCTGGCGGGGTCCACTGCCACCACCCCACACATTCAACTTACCTGCAGCCCATCCACTTGTTGTGAGCCCTTCCACCACCCACACTTCCAGCCACACATATTGCCCACCAGAGTTAGGGAAGAGTGTGTGAGCACTGGGAGGACTGGAAAATGAGCAAGTGGGTGGGGTATAGCAACAAGCATAGGAGGGGAGGGGGGCCCCAGCCACTCTCTGCCCAGGATCCATTGAAACCTGGAATTGACCATGTTTGGAAATCTTACTGGTATTATAAGAATATGGAAGTTACTGTTCCATTTAATATATACATGTTTTATTCTTCACCATTATGCTGTAAAAGCCTCATGTTTAGTGTTAATTGATTTTTATTTTATTATTTGTTCCATTTAATATATACATGTTTTATTTTTCACCATTATGCTGTAGCCTCATGTTTAGTGTTAGTTGATTTTTATTTTATTATTTTTTATTCCAGCTCACTGCCTTTGGTGGTTACTTAAAATATACTGTGTCTTACGACATTCCTATGGAGAGTACAGACAGTGACTTGGTGTCTAATGTCGATGTTATTATTCAGGTAATTTACATCTGTCATAGACTCTGCAGTTGGAAATGGAAGAGTATGAATGTTTGAAATGTTTCTCTCTGTATCTGCGGATTGGATTTGTTGTTTTCTTTTCTGGTAGCAGCCCATTCTGCCTCTTAGAATAACCCCTGGAGGGGCATTTTTTGAGTGATCACCGAGGGCTGAGATTGGGAAGGGACTGAAAAGCCCCATACATCTACAATTCTTTGGACAGTTCTTTGGATCTTAATCTTTAGCTTTGTTTTGTTTTGTTAATGGGTACTTTGAAAATTTTCTGAAAGAAATAGTCAGGGCTGTGTGTAGCTGTTTTAAATTGTATGAGCTGAATATGGAATTTCCAGTTAATATTAAAAATATTTTTCTACCATTTCAGGGTAATGGTCATATTTTGTGTACAAGATCTGAAGGGTTGTCTTTGCAACCATATGAGGAGTATTCTAATACTGTGAGGCTGGTATCTGAAAACTTCATTGATTTTAACACAAAAAAGTTAGTAGATCGTGATGTACTCATGACAGTTTTAGCAAATGTTACCCGCCTTCTGCTCAGGGCCAATTACAACATTGCAAAAAAGGCTGTATACAGGTAAGATGATGCAAGAAGATTCAACTTAATTCTTGTGCTTATGTTATGCCATCTGAGTTTGATTAATGAAAATAAAAAAGTCAGGAAAAGATTCTCAGTTTCTAGGGCCTTATTTAATCTCTTTATTTTCTATGAACAAAATTCTCTAATTTTACCTACCTTAACATTAAATATTTTTGTAAGAAAAAAAGATGTGTTCAACTGTTTTGCACAGCATCAGTTCTCTTTTTAAGAACTTAGGTTGCAAGATTTATCTTTATTTATGTGGCATTCTGTAAGTCAGAGCATTGTGCCTTATTCTAGAATTATACAGCTTCACAGACAGCTGAGCAGCTGAGAATATTAGTGTTCTGCAGAAATATATACCTTATATTGAAATTGTATTCTGTCAGACCTAAAGCTCTTTCCATGTGGCCTTCTCACATCTTTGTCCAAGAACGGATTCTTTCATAGAGAAAAAAATAAGCAAAAGCACATCCTACTTGTGATGGTGCACGGGATTAAAAAAAATTGGCTTGGCTTGGCACATGCAGTATTGACAAAGCAACTCATTTATAAAAGACCACTTGCTGAGCAAGAAGGATGACCCTTCCTTTCTTGCAGACTAGTAGGCCTTTAAGTTGGAAAGTCTGTGCTTCTGAATTCTAATGAGCTGACATTTTGTTTAATCATTGTTCTGCTATAGACCTTGTGGAACAATGGGGCTGTCTATGATGAAATTCCATGTGGGACAGGACTGTGGTGCACATCTGTTCAGCAGTCATTTCCAAGTTTTGTTGAAATATTATGTTAGTAAGAGTTTGCAATACAGAAAAAGCATTAAGAGATTTTGCGCCTGGGAGTTGCATACATCTGTGAGCTCCTTGGGTAACTACACATTATATAATCAGGTACAGAATTTTGTAAAGTCTCAGTTCTCACTTATGGTAAAATCAACCAGCTCTCATGAAAATTTCAGAATGTTTCATCTTTACCTACAGAAGGCTCTGTGAGACAATAGACGTGAAATTACAATGGGATATTTCCTGTTGAAAATGAACAAGGAAGAGGTTGTAGATTTACGGTCTCTGTTAGGTCTCTGAAGATCTTCTCATATGCATGATCCCAGTCAATCACTGTTGCTCAGTTTAGATGTCATAAATAAACTGAAAATACAAGGCTCTATGCTTGTACTTTCCCTCCCTCATTCCCTCTCCTTCCTGTCCTCCCTCTGCCACACAGAGATTGAAGAGGGATATATTCAACAAACATCAGTTAATTTTTATGTCTAAATGCAGCTGCCTTAATACATGGAGGCTTGTTTCTTTCCTTGTGATAGCAGTTTTTAATCATGATTATATTCTATTTGTCATGTGTAAGGCTGCTTTCACACACGTTGGATAATGTACTTTCAGTGTACTGTCAGTGCACTTTAGTGATTGTTTGCAAATGTTTGCAAATAATCAATACATTCATTGAAAGTCTATTATCCAACACGTGCAAAAGCTTAGTAAATTGAGACTGTCTGTGGTCCATTATGTATGTGCAATAGAAAGTAGATGGTTGGTGTCATAATGCTGAGGTGGTAGAATGGACCAAACCTCTTCAGGCGTAGAAGTGAGGGATTGTGTTTTTCAAAATTATTTTCTGTTAATAATTCCCTGTAAGTAGAAAGTACATGAGGGAGCAATAAAATGTAAAACCCCATGTGACAGACAGCTACAGTTCTACTTCTCTCTAAGAGCAGCCAATAGGAACTAATGGAATGTTGAGTGCAGAGAGACAGTGGAAGAGAGCAGCTGAGTAATCGGTGACAATTCTGAGCTGGGGAGACCCAGAACAGTAGCTTGTCACTGCCTGTGGAAAAGGTATCTTGTAACAAAGTCCTAGAAGCATGGACTGATTAGAGTTTAAAAGTTTAAGAACTGAGAAATGCATATATATTTATGAATCACTCCTCTGTTGTGTTAAACCATCAATAAAAGTTAACTCCTTCTGTTTGAGTTAACCCTGCTGACTGAATGCCTGTTGTCTCAGGGAAAGAAACACACATATGCATACACAGGCATCTGGAAAAGCCTTGGTCGTTATACATATACATATCTGTGAATGGATGATGGCAGCATAAAGAGAAAAACAGTATTTAGTTTGCAACCCCAACAACTCTGAGAAGTGTCAGGGTGAGGGAGTGGTTGACACAGAGAACTAGGCTACCCTGTCTGGTGAAATCTCTGGGAAAGAGGAGAGAGAGAGACCCTGTGTGTGTGTAAAAGGATCAGGGCTCTTTACCTATTAGACGGTGGTGAACTTTGAATACCTTACCTAACTTTAATTCTAAGCCTGTGTGGCAGAGGTTGTGGTGGGTAGTAGGGTATCTGAATGAATGAATAGGGTGTCACACCCTACCTGTAGTCTGAAGTGGCACAGCCCATTCTGCCTCCTCAGAATTCTACTTCATTCTGTTGCTCGTATAGACAAGGCCTTTGGCTATCCCAGAGACTCCAATATCTAGCTATATTTTGGTTGTGGAAAAAAATGCATGGGAAAAAATAAGATAACAGGATTATTAAATCCATGGAAAGTGAGTGGTCCTTTATGACTGAACATAAATATGAGTTTACTGTGTTTTCTTTGGCCATGTTTTCTTATTTTTGGGAAATAGGCAAAGGATTCTGCTTGTCAGGAATGTTAGGTGTTGAAGTACTGCAGATATTACAAAACTTTTCAGATTATAGTGGAGCTACATTTAGTACTTCAGAATATTTATTACATAATCAAATATACTTAATTTATAAGTGTATATATACATAGTTAAGAAAATATAGTTTTGGTCTAAGCTATATGTATTTTCAAAACATATTTTAAAAAGTAGCATGTGATGCTGTTTTGCTATAGATTGAGCGCTGTCACTTTGGATACAGCAAATGCTAATCTCATAGATTTGACTTCAGCTATGGATGTGGAATATTGTGAATGTCCTCAAGGTTACTCTGGGATCTCTTGTGAGGTAATATATCATACTTTCACATGTCTGGGTAAGCGTTTATTAATATAGCTTCCAAATACAAAGTTGTCTTTTAGGTTGCAGTTTTTAAAAATTCCAACATCGGTCAGGCAGTGAATCAACAGGTCATGGTTGACTGTGTTGACCGCTGCTGTAAGATCAAGTAATATCAGCATCGCCGACCCGCCTCGATCCAGCTGTCTGCGGAGATCGTCCATGGGAGCAACCAATGCCATCCATTCTGTGGCTGGAGAGGAAGCCAGATTGAAATGGATCCAGCACTGATGCGTCATCCAGAAATTTCTGGAGCTGTTCAGCGCTACTCTTTCAATGACCTTACCCAGAAACAAAGGTTTGAGGCTGGGTGGTAATTGGTCAGATCCATAGGATCGAGATTTGGTTTTTTAGGAGCGGAACAACCACTGCCTCCTTCAGTCTCCCTGGAAAAATCCCAGAGCCCAAGGACAGATTGACGATGTCTTCTGGGGGGCCTCATAGGCTCTCACTGCTGGCCTTCACTAGCTTTGAGGGGCATGGATCCAGGAGGCAAGCGGTTGGCCTAACAGCAGCCATAATTCTGTTGACATCAGCCTGGGAGAGCCGACTGAAGGTGTCAAAGACCAAATCCAGAGATGGCTAAGGGGCCTCGAGTTTGCAGAGAAGTATATGGATGACTCCTCTTATCCAGTGGGACAAATCTAAAGTTTCCCATGCCAGACAAAAGTTCTGCTCAGGAATTTGGGTGTGCTAAAGCACCTATATAGATGGAAAATAAATAAAAAAGTGTATGTTTTTGCAATATAGGAGTCGGTAAAGAACTCCGCTAGCATCCATAGGTTTTTAAACTATTCAAACAGTTTGAATTGCTTTAAGAAATGATTTGTGAGACTTAATATATGCTTTATGTTTTTTTTTCCTCCCCCCCCCCCAGTCCTGTCTTCCTGAATACTACCGAGTAAGTGGAATACTCTTTGGAGGGATTTGCTTGCCGTGTAGCTGCAACAATCATGCAAGTGAATGTGATATTCATGGTGTTTGTTTGGTAAGTTGGCTCTTCATTTCATTTCTTTAATATTATCATATAAGGTAGGACCCTGTGGATCTGTTCTGCTAACAATGCCACTTACTTTGGCGCATGGAGTTTTCTGCTGATGCCATTGTGGAAGAATCTCTGCTGTTAGAATAAGGCTCTTCATGCTAGAGAAAAGTGCCAGTCTCCAACCCAAAGTTCTGAAAACAATTCAGATTTTTGAATGTAGAGCATTTTCATAATCCATTGGACATAGGCAAGCAGGAACATCTTCTTACCCATTTCTGCTACTTTTGAATATAGCTGCTGGGTAAGACATATTAAAGAATTCACATGTGTGGTATGAGTGACTGAAGAATTAATGTAAACCAGAATTTTATATAAAACCTGATGGAGCATATAATCTTTTTCATTCAAGCTAGTAGTAAAATTATGGATCTGAACAGGGAAAACATTAAAGAATTGCATTTTTTTAACCTATTGTGCTGCAAATCCATTTGACTTCTGCAGCAGAAAGGCAGCCTTTCCTAGTTGTTTTAAATAACGAAGTTATAATGTTCTGAATTCTGTTAATTGTCAGTGTCTAACAATAGCACAGTTGATTTAGTCTGAGGTTAAAGTAATGCAACTAATGCATGAGGGTATGGTCCTAGCTTGGAAAAAATCATTGTCAATGGCCTTAAGAGCATAAGCATAAGAGAAACCATGTTGGATCAGGCCAATCATCCATCCAGTCCATGTCACACAGTGACCAAAACTCAGGTACCATGAGGAAGTCTCCCAACATAGCCAGAACTCCAGAAGCCCTCCCACTGTTGCCCCCTGAGCACCAAGAATACAGAGCACCACTGCCCTAGACATAGTGTTCCATCTATCCCTTGTGGCTAATAGCCACGGATGGACCTCTGCTCCATATGTTTATCCAATCTTCTCTTGAAGCTGTCTATGCCCGTAGCCACCACCACTTCTTACAGCAGCCTTCAGTGTTTCTTTGTGTCTGTTCTTTGAATCCTAATGCTGCAAGTCAGTTCATGCTGAGCGTGCTCTGAGAATGAAAATTCCATCCAGAATTAAGTCTCAGAATGTGCCTTGCATGTTTCACAGGGTTGCAAACACAACACCACAGGGCATTCTTGTGATCAGTGTCTGCCTGGATTCTATGGAGTATCCTCCGGGGGAACCCCAGAGGACTGCCAGCCATGTGCCTGTCCATTGAAAATTGCTACAAACAAGTAAGTTGCTAATTGGAAGTATCACATTATATTTCAGCAATATCAGGCAAGCATGGTCAGTACGAAATGGGAGGAAAAAATAATCTGCTGAGAAGGTGACACATGATGAAAATTCTGCTCAGCCCTTCAGAAATGAGAGTTCTTATTTGGCCTAGATTAGGAACTGGAAGTTTTCTAGTATTTTCTGAATATAAACTATCCCCTAGGACCTTCTTACAAAGGTGGTTTTGTTCTAGTGTTAGAATTGGTGAGTGTTCTAGTATTAGAACTGGTTAGTATAGGCTATTCATGTTAATAAAATTAATTCAAGTTTAGTTCTTGTCCAGCTGCTAGTTTCTAGTGCAGTCCAGCAAATGCCTACCTAACGGATTGTGTATGCCATATTTCACAACATAGCCCAGAGGAGCTCTTGTTAGGAATAAAAATTCTTTGGCTAAGTATGTAGCACTAATTGTCTGGTTCTCTGTGGTCACTGTCACCAAGTATTATAATTACTCCACCATAATCATGATCATTAATGACAACAATTACTGCAATAAACAATACACATATGTGTGAATTTGTGCTTGTAGCTGTGAAACTAGTGATGCTGAAGATAATCCTTGAAACATTGATTTCAGTTTCAGTCCTACCTGTCACTTGAATAATGAAGGTGAAGTTATCTGTGATAAATGCCCTGCGGGCTATGCCGATGCCCGTAGCCAAAGGTATGAAAATTGAGTTTGTTTATTTATTTATTTATTTATTAGATTTATACCCCGCCCTCCCCAACGGGCTCAGGGCGGCTAACAACAGAGGCAAATGCTATAACAAACAGTTAAAACAACGTAAAAAATCATTAAACAGTATAAAACAATGAACCACCAATAGGTGCTGTGACCCCGACCGTAGAGCTCTTGGGAGAACATATGGAAAAAGGCGGTTCCTTAAGTATGCTGGACCCTGGCCATCAAGGGCTTTATAGGTAAGAACCAGCACTTTGAAGCGAATCCGGTATGCTATAGGCAGCCAGTGCAGTGCCTTCAGCGCAGGCTGGACGTGGTCCTGTCTAGTGAGACTTATCAATAGCCTGTCTGCCGCATTCTGCACCAGCTGCAGCTTCCGGACTTGCGACAAAGGCAGCCCCATGTAGAGAGCATTGCAGTAGTCCAACCTTGAGGTGACCGTCACATGGATCACCGTGGCCAAGTCATCGCGGTCAAGGAAAGGAACCAACTGCCGCGCCAGCCGAAGATGGTAAAAGGCTGACTTGGCAGTGGCTGCCACCTGGGCCTCCATCGATAAGGTGGAGTCCAGGAGCACTCCCAAACTCCTAACCCTCGACACCGGCACGAGCAGCGCCCCATCGAAGGCTGGGAGAGGGAGCCCCAACCCCGAACTGACCCGACTTAGGCCCAGGACCTCCGTCTTCGCCGGGTTTAACTTCAGCCGACTCAGTCTGAGCCAACCAGCCACAGCTTGTAGTGCCCACATCACACCAGTTGTTGTTCTCAACCAAACTTCTTTGTTTCTGAATCAGAAATGTGTGTGTGTGCAGGGAGGGCATGAAATACAGGTTTTCTTGTCTCCTATTTTAGGATTTGTTCTCAAAATATACATGTCATTCCCATTCCGGCAATGGGGTCTCATGGCTAAAACTGAACAGAAATATGGAATGGAAGCTTTGGACAGAAATAACAGTTTTGCACATACATGCAAATGAAGTTTTATAAATCTGCTGTACTTGGATAGTATTAACATGGAATAAGTAACTTGAAATCTGACAAATCTTAAGTCAAACCACAAGAAGTCTACATACACTCTTGGAAATTATGAGATATTTTAAAAAGCCATTTTATTTGCCTCCCTGTTTTTCATCCTCTAGCCTATATTTCCATTATATATTCCATTTTCATTTCCAAATCCATAGGGTCCAATGATGATTCAGTCAAACTCTCAAGACAATACAGCCCTACATCTCTCTGAAATGATTAAGAGTTAAGCGAGATGGCAGATATCCCTCTTCAGGATTTTCCACAATTGAATTTAAAATAAAAAAGCATTTGCAGGGGAACTGCATTGGCACAGCCATACTGGGGATGGAGAATAACCCTTTCCGCACTTTAAAATGTTCCACCGAAATTGTTATTGCTGCTTGGGAGGAATTGTTTAGACACCATACTCTTTTGTATACTCATACTGGATTCTTAGAAGTCAACACTTGTTGCACTGTACCACTTACATATGTATGTATGTATGTATGCAGTATACTCATACTGGATTCTTAGAAGTCAGCACTTGTTGCACTGTACCACTTACGTATGTATGTATGTAAGTATTTTATTTGACTTATATCCCGCCCTCCCCTCAGGGCAGGTTACGTCAAAGTGATCTTTAAGACTTCATTTGAGAACTCTAAAAAGTAGGATCTTAACAATTCCTAGGTTTTCTTCCTGGGACTTATGATTTTGGTCAGTCCTTAATTTCATGAGAATGGTGACATTGCTATACTACTTATTTACAAAATTTATACCCCACCTTTCTTCCCTCATAAGGCCATCAAGGTGGTGAACAAATTAAAAACATGCATAATAAAATCACATCTGAAAAACTTTAAAACAACTTAAACCAGAGCAAAAATACAAACCCAAAAACATAAAAACAGCAATAAAAGCATTGGGCAGGAAGGAGGGATCATTTAGGAAATGCCAGTTTTTTAAAAAATGTCTTCAGCTGGTGGTGGAAGATGGCAACGAAAGGGGAGTTCTAAAGTTTGATGGCACAACCAAGGTAGCCCTCTTCCAGGTTGCCACCCATTTAATCTCAGAAGGCAGGGCTCCCAAAGAAGGGCCTCAGAAGATGACTGCATTGGTTGGGTAAGTTAATAAGGGATTAGGTGGTTTTTCAGGTATGTTGGTCCCAAACCATATAGCGCTTTAAAGGTCAACATCAGCACCTTGAATCGTGCCCAGAAACAGATTGGAACCCACTCTAGTCAACATCCTGACTGTAGAATTCTGAACGAATTGAAGTTTTCAAACACTCTGCAAAGTCAGCCCAAGGTAGAGTGCATGACAATAATCTTATATAGATATAACCAGGGCATTCACCATAGTGGCCAGATCTTTTCTGCCCAGGAATAGCAGCAGCTGGCTAACCAGTAGAAACTTATAAAAACACACTCCTTAACCAACCACATTTAGTTTTGTAACAACTTTATAAAAGTGAGGGCAGTGCTTCCTGGATTAGCGTTGACCTCATTCTATATAGGCTAATACTTTTGCACTCCTTTCACTCAGAAGGGAGATCACCCTGTGCACTTTAGGCTAGTGCGATGTTTCTAATCCTGGACCACAGTTTTCTATAATTGGACATAATTTTCAATTCATTGTACAGATGTGCGAATGGGTACTTTGGTAACCCTTTGATGCCTGGACAGACATGTATTCCTTGTGACTGCAATGGCAATGTAGACTCAATGGCAGATGGCTACTGTAATTCACTCACCGGAGAGTGTTTAAAGTGCACTGGAAATACTGCAGGACATCACTGTGAAAAGTGTGCAGATGGGTTCTTCGGGGATGCAGTAACAAATAAAGACTGCCATGGTGAGTTGATGCTGTTAAATTAACCTGTCAAGAATTTGTGTATATGTAGGATAGTTGTTTAATATAGTGTCCCAAAATATTACATCAGGTTTGAGAATATGAATGGATTGGTAAATAAAATTAAACAACTGATAATCTGGCGCTAATTGTATCTGCTGTAAGGAATGTATAGCCTCATGTTTTGTAGTGTTGTTCCAGTAAACTTCTTGATCATATTGCTCTAATTTGCATGTTAGTTCACTTCTATGAGGGGCTTCTGGGATAAAGGACTGTTACTTAAGCTGTTTGTTTAGAATCAGTGAATGATATATTCTTGACTGTTGCATTCATGGTTTGGGGCTGTGTGTATAAGCGTGCAAGGGAGAGGAGGTCCTTGGTCTCATGATTCCTCTCCTTCCCTGCTGTTCTCACTCACTGCAATCGAATTACCCAGTAAACTCTTGATTGCCATTACATCAGAACTGGCAAACTATAGCTAGTGCCATAGGGTTCAGTCCTTCTCCACTTAGGGATTTGATCCAGACATCTTACATGGACGTTATAGAACTGACAGAGCAGAACCCTGGGAGGTAAAGATGGAAAGGTCCTGCGCCAACCTCATCCATTTTTCCACCCAATGTTTATGGATATGTCCGCTGGGGAATGTAATCCATTATCCAGGCAGTTAACCATTTCCATGTGCCTTTATCAAGTCTCACTGTTCTCAGAAGTGAGGCAGGTACTTAGAGATACAAAGTTATGAACTTTGAGACTATCTAGCCATTTAATGCAAGGCCCATGTCTCAGCTCTGAACTTGCTGGAAATGTCTAGGATTTGATGATTAATCCAAGAGAGTGAGCACCCTGGTCTGATTGCAGTATAATTTTAAGTAGACTAAATGCCTTAGTATAATGGTAATACATAAAATAAGTGCTCTTTGGTTTCAATAGTTTCTTTTTGGGATTCATAGAGTGTTGTTAATTTTCTCAGTACATGTCTGCATTGTAGAAACAGATGTGTTATAATAATATAGAATATGACCATTTAAGTGTGAACCTGAAGCAGAAGAAAGTTCTACACAGCAACTAATAATTACTTTGCCCCACTAACTTTTAGTTTTTTCCTTCATTTTGTTTTTTTATATGCACAAGCTTGTGAATGCCATCTGAACAGCTCTGCTTCCAGCATCTGCCATCATGAGACTGGTTTGTGCCAATGCAAGCCAAATGTGATAGGACAAAAATGTGATAAGTGCTTGGTAAGAGATAATAAACCTTTATCAACACTGTAATTGCTATTGAAACTGTTGCCAAAGTGCTTGTGTTGGTGAACCTGCTTGCAGTGTTGACACAGTATACCTGTAATGCTGTCAGGGGAAGGGAAGGCGGCATAGTATAGCCCGATCTCATCAGATCTCAGACGCTAAGCAGGATACGTACTTGGAAGGGAGACCACCAAGATCATAGGAAGGCAATGGCAAACCATCTGTGTTTTTCACTTGCCTTGAAAGCCCCTCACTGGAGTTGTTCGAACTTGGCTGTGACTTGATGGTGCTTTATACACACGTAATGCTATCAGGAGGTGTAGATCTAATGCAGTTCTCATAATGCCCCATCTTACATATTTTTTGGAAACTTTCCATCCTTCATATCACTGGCTTGGAATAATATGTCTGAATTTTGCATTTTTCCTAGCTCTGTTTGACAACAATTACAGGGTAGTCATTTAAAAATTACAAATGCAAAGGAAGTGTATTAGGGCCAACTGGCATATCAGAAAAATAATGAGTCCTGGCTTTTGAGTTCCCCAGAACTCTTAGACTGGATGCAGACTTAATTAGATTATGAGTTAACTGGTGCAAAAAATTTGCCATTTTAAAAGCTGCCAGTTAACTTCTGGCTTTTATATTTTTGTAGGGACTATTTTTGCTTCTCCAGCCCAGTAAACTTTTAGGCATCTTGAAATCTGTTTTGCATCCAACATTATGTAATCTAATTAACAGTGCAATTCTAAACTAAGTTACGCCATTCTAAATCCATTGTAGTCAGTGAACTTTGACTTGAGTAACTCTGCATAGGATTAAGTTTGAGTCTAGTGGCACCTTTAAGACCAATAGAGTTGGAAGATTCTGAAGAGGTGTGCTTGCACATGAAAGCTTATACGTTGAGTAGAACTTTGTTGGGCTTAAAGGTGCCACTGGACTCAAAACTTTGTTCTGCTGTTTCAGACCAACATGTGTACCCCACCTGAATCTATCTGCATAGGATTGTACTGAAGCACACACACCACAGTCTCCATTTCAAGAAGCCTACAAAATATAGTGTGTGCTTTTTCGTCATGGCTTAAGGCATCTGCCCCCACCCTTCTTTTTTTGTATCTAGCCTTATAAAGAGTTCTAGGAAACCTGAAAGTTTGTGAAATTTTGTAACGTTTTGGTTGGTTGTGATAAAAAATGACTACTGTTGTTTTTGGCTTTGTTGTCATTGAATAGACCATTGTATGGAAGCAATTTATATGCAGATACACATCGCAGAGGCTGTATTATCTCTGACTCAAGTGTGCAATTCCCCAAACTTTAATTTTGTGAGCTCTAGCATTTGATTATTTTTTTCTAAACAAACTGAATATTTTTTCCCAGTTTTTGACCAACATTAGTAGGATCTTTGTCTTCTAAAAATACAGTGGTTTTTGTTCCTGAATATTCACTGGAAATTTCCAGTAGACACTGTTCAACAGTTCTGTATGTTGGGAAAAATTGTGAGGTGAAACTCATTCCCATTTCACAGTCCAGCAGATGCACCATGGATGTACATACTTTGCAGCTGGAGTGGGTAGCATACAAAAAAGAAAGAGAGGTTTTTGTTTCAGTGAACAATCAAATTTTGCTGAAATGCTTTTCTTCCTTCCCAACAGGTTGGCTATTATGGCTTAAGTACTGGACTTGGCTGTCTTCCTTGTAACTGCAATAAATCTGGCTCAGTTGCTGAGGACTGTAGTGATGAAGGACAGTGTCGCTGTGTGTCAGGAGTGGCTGGGGAGAAGTGTAGTCACTGTGCTTATGGTTTTTATGCATTCCAGGATGGTGGTTGCACACGTAAGTTGGAGCCCATGATCTGGTTGTGCTTTTTGAAATTGCTCTAGTTTTCTTTTAAAAGGGTGGTTTGTACTACACAACAGAAAAAATCACGTGAGACTGTTCAACATGCATTCTTGAAGCCTTGTCAGAAGGGAAGAAGAAAATATTGGATTTATACTCCACCCTTCACTTGGAGTCTCAGAGTGGCTTACAAACTCCTTTCCCTTCCCCTCCCCACAACAGACACCCTGTGGGGTAGGTGGGGCTGAGAGAGCTCTTTCCAGAACTGTCCTTGAGAGAACAGGTCTGAGAGAACTATGGCTTGCCCAAGGTCATCCAGCAGCTGCAAATGGAGGATTGGGGAATCAAACCTGGTTCTCCCAGATTAGAGTCCACGCACCTAACCACTATACCAACAAATATCTGATACAGTTTTGTCAACGGTACAAATGTGACTATTTCCACTAATGAAATTAGAATTTGGGCTCCCAAACTGTACCTTATTCCTTTTGGTACAGAAACAATAGGGAATGCATTGATATTAGGAATAGCTTGCTTCTGATTTATCTGTTAACATTCTTTTGCCAGTGTTTTAAAACAGAATAATGGTTAATGATAAAGTTAGCCTAGTACTGCTCAACGTGAAAATAAGTATCAGAGGAATGGGGGTGGTGGTCAATCGTGGGGAAGAATTAAGCCAAATGGCATGTTGAATTTGTTCACCTACTTGCAAGAAAACTTATGGATGTGCGCAGCAATGTCTTAGGGGTCCATATCTGATGTCTGCGCAGATACTGTAAAGAACTTGTGGGGAAAGTACTCATTTTCCTGCAGAAAAACCTGGAAGAGGAGCCCTGATTAAGGTCACCATCAGGGATAAGGAACGTTATTACGACAGAGATGCCTTTAGTCTAATAACCACTGGCAGAACATGTTTCCTGTTTTCATTTTCAGCTTGTAACTGTGCGCATACTCAGGACAATTGTGATAGAGATTCTGGACAATGCATTTGCCCACCTCATACTGAAGGAGAAAAATGTGAACTCTGTAAGGAAAATTTCTGGGGTCTTGATCCAGAAAAAGGATGTAAGGTAATATTGCATGCGGTGCGGACCTGAACAAGTAAAAAAGGATGCATACAATTGTGGACCTTTTTCTTAAAGATTGTGGCATGCTTGCTCTGTTTCCAGCATATGTTGGTTATGCTGAGTGTGGGAAAGCAAAAATGTTGTTCTTTGTATCTAGAGCAACCAGTTTCCTTTTTGGCACTTTCATAATTCTAAGTGCTGATAATTTCATTTAACCACTGATCTAGCCTAGAATATACTAAAGTTCTGTACTATATAACACCTATAGAATTCTGATAATTCCAAGTTTTGCTGTGATATGTTTCCTAGGCCTTTCTACATCAAATTGCTCATTATCTGCCAGGGCAACTTATTTAGCAGGTTAGAGTAAGAATCTTATGAGAATTCCATCTATTCTTGGATAAACTTTGGTTGCAGAGACCTGAGACATTTGAGGGAGGAGGGGGGTTTGAGTATAGAGAGAATGCTTGTCTTGCTTCCAGTGTATACCAAGGTGGATCTTGATAGTGGTACCCCAAAATAAAATTACAAAGAAAGAGAGTGAGAGTGATTTTAAACACAAATAGATAGCTTTATTGCATACAAAATAAAGTAAAAGAACTAAAAATGTAAAGAACTTACATTGGGAACTTACATTGGGCACATTCCCTAAGTAACCACACATGCACACATCAACATGAGGGCACATTTATAAAAGGTAGGAGGGAGAAAAGTTTTTAGGGAAAGGACATATGACCTGAAATCCTGGGCTTGAGGCCTGGAGAGGTTCAAGGAGCAGAACCGAGGAGCTGGCTAATTAGAGAGAGAGAGAGAAAGCCTTCAGTGCAGTTGCAGGCGAGTTCAGATAATGGAAAACCTAGGCACACTTTTCACTGACTTGGGATGGTCTTTTTATGGGGAAGAGTCCCATAGCTGGACATGGGAAGCCATTTTCATAGGAACCTGATTGGTCCAAGATAAAAAGTTTGAATCTCACTGGCTGGTTTAAAGTTAAATGCTGTCAAACATTGATGGGGAAAACACCTTGATTAGGCTACTGTGGGCCAAATCTGCATGGGAACAAAGATCCTAGGTGAGGCAACATGATTAACATACTTTAATTAGATTGAAGTGAGCCAGATATGCATTGACACAAAGGTTTGAGTGAATCAAGATAGCTCCTGAAACAGGATGGAGTGTAAATTAATTACTTGAGTGCCCTTCTTGATCGAGTAAAAAAAGGAAAAAGAGGAACTGGGCATTGGTTATTATAGTAGCAATTTCCTTGGGCTGGGCAGACACCTCTGGGATATGCTAGGATATTCCAGTGTTGAAAAGTCTTTTGTTATTGAGAATGAAGTGAAGTCTAATTGTTATTGAGAACCCTCAGCTGTGGAAGTTTGCACTTAATTAGTTTGTAATGCCAGCAGACTCTATCTCTCTTGGACTTTCATGGCTATATCCAGGCACCTGGATGAGTCTGTCCAGGTTTCAAGTCCCCTTTGCACTTAGGCAGTAAAAGGTTGTGCCTCTTAAAACAACTAAGTCCAAAATAAGATGAGGACCCCCACTAACTAAGGGGTTTTTGGCTGGAGTACAGAGCATGCTCCTTACAGCAGGGGACCGCAACCTTTTAAAGCCTACACCTTTGGAATTTTGAGAGGGGGTAGTAAGTGCCACCCCAAAATGGCTGCCATAAGAGGCTACCTCTTCATTTTGCAAAAGAATTGCATGGCCACCCTACTGAACACACGAAGCTGCCTTATTCAGAGTCCATCCATTGGTCGGTAAAGGTTATCTGTACTCTGACTGGAAGTGGGCTTCTATATGAACGTGCCCATCCATTAAAATTTTCTCAGAACCCCTATTTTATATTTATATATATTTTAGAGTTGCGATGGACAGATCCCTTTTTTGCTGTAGTGCCTCAACTTTGGAGTTCTCTAAAGGTGTATTTTTAGCAGCTGGTGACTTTTTAAATAGTTGCCAAACTTAGGCCCCGGTCACACGGGAGGTTTTGGCCCAGAAGAGGGACAGATCGGGGGCACAGCAAACAGGCACAAGCACACCACAACATCTGGGAATCGGCGCGCACCCGTCCCCAATCCGTCCCTTCAGGCCTAAACCACGCAGTAAATACCCCCCAACAAAAAGGTAGCACCAACTGGAAACGCTGCAGCAAGCGCGGCCGTCAGAGCGCCGGAGCGCCCATCTTCAGGAGCATTGGAGGCTCCCAGTCGAACTGCGCATGCGCCCACATGCGCAGCCGGCTGCCTAGCCCCCCCCCGTGTGGCAGGGGCCTTAGAATTACTTTAGCTTGGAAAATGTACAGATTTCTTGACATTTTTTCCCCTCTTCTCAGGCATGCAGTTGCAGTGCTGTAGGCTCATTCAGTCTTCAGTGTGACCTGTTGACTGCTCAATGCCAGTGTAAGGATGGGTATGGAGGAAACAACTGCTCTGTGTGTGCCTTGGGATACAGAGGCTATCCAGAGTGCGTTCCTTGTGACTGTGACGTGCGTGGAACCACAGCAGACACATGTGATCAAAGTCAGGGAGTCTGCAGTTGTGAAGAGGACACAGGAGTTTGTGCCTGCAAGGTAGAGCTTTCAGATACAATATGAAATAATTGCCTATTTTTCCACAGCTCAAAAGCTTCAATGTTATTTTGGAAATCGGGTTCTGTTTTACCAGCCGCTGTTGAAGATAATTGAAACACTTGATTTATACCTGGGAGAGGCATCCGGCTGTTATTCTTTCCACAGTGGGAGTCTTCTGCTGCAGTTACTTTCTGTTTGGAGGTCTATGGGCACTATCTATGTATGGAATTACAGAAGAGCCTCCTGTTGGTTTTGAATATATTCGTTTTCTAAACTATGTTTAATTGTTATGAGCAATCTGTTTAATCAATGTCTATACACTCTATTGGGTTGTGACCACTAACCCTGAATGTAATATATAGTTTTGAACATAGTTGTGAATTGTAGATGGTTTACAGCAAGAATAATAGCTGATCGCACTTATTGTACCTTGACAGCTGATAATGCTTGTTTGTAAGAGCAGCCTAAGATTGTGCAACACTTATAAAAGAAGCGCCCACAGGAGACATCGCCTCTTGCGACAGAAACAGGCATGCATGGGTTACTACAGAAATTGGAAAGGCAAATCCGTGCACTGCAAAAATGATTTTGAAAACGCCGCCCAAGGTCCTTTAAAAATGCGGTCTTGAGTGGGAATAGAGAATAGAGAAACGCCAAAGAGGGCAATGATTGGCTGCTGGTCCCAGGCCTCCTTAGGGGGATGGGACTTTTGCCATTGCAGGCGCCCTCCAGGGCTAAAACAGTGAAACACTGTCATGCAAATTAAAATTTAAAAACCCATCAAAACCTGCCCCTTTAAGGTGGGCTTCAGTGGGCGGCTTGCCTCAGAACACCAATGCAAAAAACTTTCTTCAGGTTCCCAGGTTTAGGCTTTTTTGCAAATATACTTCACTTGCCCCCCAAAAAAGTGCAGGAGAAACCAGGTTTGTTAGGAACTGGGAAGAAATTAAACAAGTCACTTTATTGCGCATGAGATACAATACAAAACATTTTTTTTTTTTACCATCATGAACAGTATTACGGATTAATCAAAGACACATGCGTGGTCAAACAAAAAGCTCGAGTCCCAGTGACTGGCCGAGGGTCACTGTGATGGGCAGGTGCTTTTTTGGCTTCCCACCCTCTCCTGTCTCACCTTCCACTAGCAGTGACCAAGTTGATTTTAGCTATGATGTGGGTTTCAGTGAAACAGTGTTAGCAATTAACTGGCTGAGTTACATGCTGCTATTACAGGGAGGTAACGCAGGAATCTGAGATGATTTCTGCAACTTCCCCTCCATCCTCTCCCTTCCCTCAAGAGTAATTCATACCAACACCTTTGTTTCACAACAAAAGGAATAAGTTTTTGTCTCTTCCTGGTTTGGTGGATAAGGGAAGCTTTGCTTTAGAACAGTTACAGTTTTATGTACCCACATCTTAACTGAAATGACAGGCTGATCCCGAGAGAGAGAGAGAGAGAGAGAGAGAGAGAGAGAGAGAGAATGATTTCACTTGGAACTTCTCCTTAAACCAAAAAATATTGGCATATTGAAATATTGTTAGCTTGTCTCTTGGGATATTTTCCTCAGCCCCCTTACAAATCACTAACCCACTATTTCCCTAAAGTAACAGAGGTTACCTGCTCTATTCCTGCCTCTCTATGGGCCCCTGAGCCCTGTGTACCTATAACTATAGCTGCCTGAGTTCTTTTCCTTCACGGGGCGAAGTCTGACTACCTAACTAATTTCCTGGTAGTTTTTCTTGTTTCTATGTTGCTTCTCAAAGCCCTGCCTGAGACAATGACAGACTTTCCCTCCACATAACTCTCTCCCCTCACCGCTCCCCAAGGTTTCAGAGCCTCCTATTGGCTGATGCCACTTAGTATCTGCATACTTTCCCTATGGGCAGGGATTTGCTGGGATGTCTGGAGGGTAGAACTAGTGGCCATTGATTTCAGTTGGCCACTGAGTTTCATTCCAAGTTAGTTTTTTAACTTGGGTCTGTCCAGGCCTCATCCAGACCTAGTCCAACACTATTCCACACTGTCTCCCAGACCATAGTAGTTTATTCCAGCATTAATTTCACTATCTTTGATACTTCTGTACTGTCTGCACTGCCCTACTCAGGGAGAAGTAAACTTCTGTTGAACAAAGGACGTTTAAATGTACCCTTAGATTAAGCAAGTACTACTGTTGTGTTAGTGTAGTGGAGGTGAAGCAGCAATCAGGCCAGGATAATAATAGAGTAAGATGATTTTGACAGGGTCAAAAAATGAAAGCAAGTTAGGTCCCAAAAGGTTGGTTTAGGACCAAGATGAGAGTGCTGTGGACCTATGGTAGATACAGTAGCCAAGAGCAGCAAACACAAGTTGCAGACAGTGATGAAACAATTTCCCGTGCATAGGTATGCTACCTGGGAGGTGTGTAATACTCTACTCAGGCCACCCTGTGCTAATTATGGATTTCTATAGATGACCCATTGGACTCCATTGGCGTACCTAGAGTATTTGACACCCGGAGTGTGTGTGTGGGGACACACAGTGGGGCTTACTTGCAAGTAAACATGCGAAGGATCAGGGCTCTTAGAAAGAAGGGGGCATCCATTGACGTAGGAAGGGGGGAGAGAAAGCTTTGATTGGATTTTTTTTTTTTTTTAACGAAAGGCAGGGAAAGTGTTTGAGATTTGGTAAGGGAGACCTGGTGCAGGGAGGCAGTGGGGGTGAGCTTTCCGAAAGGAGGGCAGGCTTTAAAAAAAGAATATAAAGAGGAGGGGAAGCTGGATCGAAAGAGAAGGGGCTGTTTATGTTTTCTAAACTGCGAGTCCCAGGTGCTGGAGCGCCTTGTCGGCATCTCGTTGGGGAAAAGGAGTTGTTTTTTGAAGCCATAATCCCCCGCTCCCTTACTCTAGAGTAGGTGCCCCCTTATTGCCTGCACCCGAGGCGGACCACACCTACTGAGCTGCCCTTGCTACGCTGCTGTAACTATCCTAGCAACAACGCTATCTGTAAAATATTCAGATCGGATTCTAAATGTTCTTGATGATTTATTTCATTACCAGGACAATGTGTTTGGATTGCACTGCAATGAATGCAAAACTGGAACCTTTGCTCTCCATGCTAGTAATCTTTTGGGATGCATTCCATGCTTCTGTTTTGGGATGTCAGACATTTGTTTAGAAGTGGAAGATCATGTGAGAATTCCGGTTAGTAAAGCAATTTCACGTTCTGTGTCTAGTTTTCTATTCTGTTTCATTTTCATTTTGTTACAGTTTGGTCTACAAACAGCTTGATCTTATTTTATTGGCTGAAATGTTAAAGCCTTTTATATATACCACCCCTCGGACAGTTTAAATTGCACAAATCATTTTCATTTTGTTACAGTTTGGTCTATAAACAGCTTGATCTTATTTTACTGGCCCAAATGTTAAAGCCTTTTATATACACCACCCCTCGGACAGTTTAAATTGCACAGAACGGTAGAGTCATAGCACAAATCCCACCATTCTACAACACCTTTTGTGAGGTTTGTGTGTAAAAGCTTATCTCGTTTTTCCCGTCTTGACCTTGCCACTCTCCCTGTCTGAAACACTGTCTTGCAGGGAAACATAAAAGTGGACAGAAAACTGTGCACAAATGAACAACCATCCACCTTCACGAAACCTACATTATACTTATCTAGGAATATAAAACACTTTATAAAACCACTCCCAAATATTACTTGCAAAGAAATTAATTGAAATCTTGCTGAATTTGGAAAATATAAAATATGTAGTACATTTTATAATGTGGGATGGCTTACTTTGGTATTGCAGGTAACACTAACTCCAGAGCAGAATGTTTTGTATGTAGTCTCTCAAAGTAACTTCACTGGAACCAGTGAAGGTGTGTTTTCCCAGTCTCCTGATATTTTGATGGATGCGGCAACAGTCCGGCAACATTTGAATACAGAGCCATTTTACTGGAAGTTACCTGATCAGTTCCGGGGAGACCAGGTAAGCATATGAAATGTGATTAGAGATTTTTTTCCCTGTATTGTTTGGCGAAGGTTAGGAGACTTGCTGATTTCTAAGTCCCAAAGACAACGTACAGTGTATTAGAAAAATCAATCTTCATTATTTAATATTTACATTAATTTACATCATATGTTTATATGCTAAATCTTAAAATGTTTTAAAGATACTCTAAATTGCTGTCTTTTATAACTAAATAGTAGATACAAGTCTGCTAGCATGATATTTGATTAAAACAAGTAGAGAACCCAGAAGGCCACGTGTTGTCACTGCATTTCTCCCTGTACCCCTTCCTCACACTATTTCCTCTTTTTATTATCCTGGCAGCCTCCTTTCCCTACTAACTTCTCTTCTTCCCAGTCCAAGCATCCTTTTATTATTTACTTCCTTTATACTCCCGTTTCCCAAAGCAGCTGGCATCATTCTTCTCTACTCCATTTTATTGTCACAACAACTCTGTGAAGATAGATTAAGCTGAGAAAGAGTGACTTGTCCAAGGTCACTCAGAAAGCTTCCATGGCAGTGGGGATTTGAAGCTGTGTTTCTCAGATACTAGTTAGCTACTATACCACACTGGCTCTAGCTTTCCTTCCTTACTTCTGCTGTCAGTGTATCCCTGGGAAAAATCCAGCCAAATTGCAAAAGTCATGAGTTCTGTGATGGCTGCTTCTGGTCCTTGCCAAGTTGAGCAAGTTGTGTGGAGGTTATTGCTGGCAAGTTGGTGGCAGTGGTTGGAGCCAGGCCTGACTCTGATGAGACCTCTGTCAAAGGCTAAAACAGACCTTGGAAAGGGCCTGCCCCCTCCCCCTACCTTTTACTGACAGAAACCAAAGCTTGAAAGCTGACAATATTGTTGTGGTTGCCTATCAGCTACCACAATGGCTACTGCAGAGGGCATAGTATAGGCACTGCTTTCATTATTTTAGAGGTTTTGAACCTCCCCATTTTATTTTTAGCTTTCAAATCTTTCTGCATACTTGGGGGTTTCCTCTGGTTTGATCTCTCTTGTCTATTCATGTCTCCCATTTCTGGATCCACAGATGGGGCCATATTGAGAACTGGATATTTTGACCAGTAGTGCATCAGTAAGGACGTGCAGAGGGCATCTCATTTTCCCTCCTCCATTACTTCATATTTCCCTTCCTTGGAAGGCCCCATAGCCTTTCCCTGTTTTCTCTTTCTCATATTTCACACCCACCAGTTAACGTTCCTTTATCTGTCTTGCAGTTTTCGGCTTACCCCCCTTTTTCTCCCCCAGCAGCCTCTATCCAGGAAAACTATGGCCGAATTGCTTGATTCTAGCTTGATTCCACACTATTTTCTCTTTTCCTCCTTGCAGCAACCTCCATATCCTTACCTTTCATTGCTTCCTTCTCTCCTTCCCACCCAACAACCAGTCCTACCTTTTTTGTGCCCCCCATCTTCAACTATATTTATTGTTTATTTGTTTCATTTATACTCCACCTTTATCCACAATGGGGTCCCAAAGCAGCTTACATCATTCTCCTCTCTTTCATTTTACCTTCATGATAATCATGTGAGGTAAGTTAAGCTGACAATGTATAGCTGGTCTAAGGTCTCCCAGTGAGTTTCTGTTGCAGAAAAGTGATTCAAATCTGGGTTTCCTAGATCCTAGTCTGAAACTCTAACCACCACACCACTAGGGATGGGCACAAACCGCATTGTTATGGTTCGGTTTGGTTTGTGGTCTGTGGCCGAACCACAAACCAGTACGAACCGGGAGATTGGTTTGTGAACCAAAACGGTTCATATTGGTTTGTAACCCCTGCTTTCTTCTTCCCACTGCTCAGCTGTTTTTCATGAACCACCATTAACTGCCTTAAGATTTGTGGAAGTTCGTGGCAGCTCTTTAGTTCAGAACAAAGGCATAGTCTGGAAATCAGTTTTCAAAAAGAAAGAAGGAAAATGCAGCCTTGCTGGATATCAGCAAAGCCATTGGCTCCATCTGATCTAGGTTTTAGTGAAATTATTTAAAGAAAAGACAGGGTATAGTGTGTGAATCATTTTTTGCCAATAAATGTAATAATTATTCATCTGAGCAGCTCATGGCCTACGGTGGAAAACTAAAGTACACAGTGGCTTTTTATGCTTTGGATGGCACTGGAACTTCAAACCTTGAACCACAAGTCTTGATGAGGGGAGGTTTCACTGATAAACAGATAATCTACGTGGACATTCCTGAACCAGGAAACGGTGTAAAACAAGAGGAAGAAATACTAATGGTGGAGGTGAGACAAACTATATCTGTTAGATGTATAGCATCAAGGTCTCTGTGTAGAGGCTTCTCTACATTAGTTTCTTTGTTTCTGTAAAATCTGTGAACTCATTGAGCATTGGTGCCTGAACCATTTACTGCAGAGGTTCCCAGTATGTTGCTAGTGGGTGCCATGGTGCCTGTTGACACCTTTCTTGGAGTCCACCAAGTATTTTAGAAAGTGGGTGGGATTAGTTTGGGCTTCTTGAATTCTGATGTTTATGATATAAGTTGCTTTCAGTAAAGTACTTTGTCTGTGCAAATAGCAGAATAATAATTCTGAAAACACAGTGGGACTTCTGGCTAAACATGATAGGGTCAGCATGGATACAGTGCTTATTGCATCTAACAGGAATTTCTACTGAAGTAATCAGATCTCAACAGTTTAAATGTATTTTTATAATACAGGTGGACACTGATAATAACATTACTACATCAAATTCTGGTAATTTTTTTAAGAAATCATTTATGTGGCTATCAAAATCTGGCCAGGATCTCTCTTTTACTGTACACATCACATGTTCAGTGAACTCTCTCCAGCCCATCAGCACCAGCTGTTGTTGTTACAAGCAATAGTGCAGGTTGAAAATGGCAGGGCTCAAGAGAGAAGAGCTCATCTAAAGTGTAGAAGAAGCCAGGAGAAGCATTTTGCCTTTTTGTTTTGCATGTTAGATGCTTGGAAAATGAAGACAGATGAGGGTTTCTTAGATACTTGGAAAATGCTGCCAGATGAGGGTTTCTTAGCTAGCTCTATATGTATACTTAGTGTGTATGTGAGAAAATATGTTTAAACAGTGTTAATTTTATAAGCCATCCCATGCTACTATCAGAGTTACGTATAACTGCACTCTGTGACACTTTGTGGTTGGCTTCACCTCTTGCATCAGCCATTTTGGGGCTGGCTTGGCTTCCCACAGCAGCTATTTTTGGTTGTACCCATTCCAAAAGTGCTTGCAGACTCAAAAAGGGTATGGACCCTGGTTTACCACATGCAGCATATAGCCTATTTTGCATGATACTACCATGTCATATACATGCAATGTATGCATTGTGGAAGCATGCTGGTGTTCTAGATCAAGGTTTTGCTTGGATATATATTTGCTTTCATCTATGCTGTTTATCACTGTAACAAGCAATTCAGTTTTACTTGCTTCATACTGCACAAATGCGACTGTTTTATCTAAAACTGGATTATTGGATATGAGAGTTGTAGTGACAGGTTTTTTTTCTATCACAAAAGATGAGGCATCTGTCCTGTCTGTGCTCTGGTACATCTATCTTAGATTGCTGTAATGTACTTTAAGCTGGGCTGCCTTTGAAATGTATCTGGACATTTCAGTTAGTCCAAAACCAGCAGCCAGGCTGTTGTTGATTACTGGATTCAGCGGTTATTAACACCTCTGTGTTAGAAGATTTGCAGTGGCTTCTCATTTGCTTCTGGACCCAAGGGCAGGTTGTTACTTTTAAAGGCATTAATGGTTTGGGTATGGGTTACTTGAAGGAATGCCTCCTCTCATACTGTCCACCAGCCTACTACTTAGTTCTCCTTTCAAACCCAGCTTTCTGTGTCTCCACCTGTAGAGGTGAGATATGTGGTGATCAGAGGCAGGGTTTTTTCAGTGGTGGCATTCAGGGGTGGATTAAGGCTCACTGGTGCCCTAAGCACTGACCAATCCTGGTGCCCCCCTCCTTTCCACACTGACCCAGTTCATTTTAGTTGTTGACCTGTCTGACCAGATATACAGTGCAGTTTGCAGCAGTACAAAAATTTATTCATATTATAACACAATATACTGTACAAACGAAGCTTTTCACCCTTTTCCCAACTTTGTGGTGCCCCCTTTGGCACTGGTACCCTAAGCACGTGCTTAGTCTGCTTAATGGTTAATCTGCCCCTGGTGGCATTCCACACAGTTGGATTGCCCTCCCCCTTGGAATTCTTCTGGTGACTACTTTATGGCCTTTTAGGTGACAGGCCAAAATATTGCTCTTTTCCTGGGCTTTTAACTTTTTTTATTCCAAAGATTTTATTGTGTTTTTTATTTGTTTGTTTGTTTGTGTGTTTTACCATGTGAGCATCCTTAATAGGTGTCAGGAAATGTGGTTCGCTTCTAAATAAATAAACATTTGACATTCGTATGTGGGGCACTCTTGAGCACAACTTGTTTCATGTTCAGCAGATCACAGTGGCTTAAGGCAGGAACACGACTAGAAGTGACTCTATATATTCTCCTGCGTCCAGCTTTGGGAAGAATGGAAGTACCTTCTAAGTCCTTTTCCCTAATTTATTTCATGTGCCAAGAACATGTATGGTGTTAGGGTTATAGCAGAGAGAGGAAGACAAGGAGGCATTGTGGCTGGGGTAGAAACATCAGACATGTCCTTTCTCATCTTGCTTACTGCAGCCCAGGTAATGACATTATGGCAAGGGATGGTTGAGCCCTTGGGTAACTTGAACAGTCCATATCTTCCAGTCCAGGAAATGGACCATCACACATTTAAGGAACTGTTTGTTCTTTGTTTCACTATGAAGAGGAGCACTAAGGCAAGACAGTACTATTACAAAAGTATGTGTTTTCCATTCATAAACTTATTTTCATTGCTTTTATCCCTTTAGAATGTCTGGAAATACTTTAATTCAGCATCATCTGAATCAGTTTCACGTTCTGACTTCATGTCAGTGCTTAGCAATGTAGAGTACATCCTTATCAAAGCATCATATGGCCAAGGATTACAACAAAGCAGGTAAAAAGTTATGCTTATTTTGTTTAGGAACTTGTCATTTTTTTGTTAGATGCGTTATAATAATAAGGATGTTGATTTAGTGTAGGTGTGACTCAAAAGCGTGAATTCAGCAAAGGGGCTTTTGTCTGTAAAGCAGCATTTTGTCTCCTTCTTTGTCCCACTGCCCCGTCAAGTGCCCCCTGAAATCCTTCTCCTGGGGGGAAATGCACTCCCAGGAGCAGCATGGGTGAGAGTCAGGGGCCTGCAGTGGGAGAGGGGAATCGGCTAAAATTGTACCCTGCGGCCCCGGAAATACTCCATGGATCCAGCCCAAAGGAATGTACCTCAGAAAAGCCGTGCCTGAAAATCAGGGAACCTTTCAGATCAGACTTCAGTGAAGCAAGAAGAACTGTATTTGGAAATGGAAGCTGGTAAAGTTTCTATGCTGAGGAAAAACTACTTGTGTCTGTGTGGAAGTTTCTTTGGTGTGTACCTTAGATAGTTTGCTAGGAAACTGGTAGCTATATCAGAAGAATTCTACGACCCGAGGGTAGAGACTGGCAATTGCTTGTTATTGATCCAGATATTGACATCACTGTCTGTTTTAGAGACCACAAGTACAGCTAAAACATATAGGAAATTGGTATATACAGAGCTCACATATATGAGAAAGTTGGCAAGTTTATGGAGCCCCTCCTGAATGCTATCAAAATCACCTTCACAAAATTTCATGGCTTTACCTCTGATTTAGAAACACAAGGGATAAGCTTTGCAATTGAAATCTGCAGTATAGTTTGGTTAGTGCAGGGTTGGATAATGGTGATCTTTGCCCCCTTTCTTTCTGTCCCCCCCCCCCACTCTGGAAAAGTGTTCCTGAAGGTCAGATATTTTTGGGAATGGTGGGCGATGCAGTATGAGCAGCTGCAATGTGAAGGGGGAATCAGCAGAAATTACTGCCTTATTCTTGCACAAATGGAATATGAGCTCATGCTGCTGGGGCAATATCTTGTGATTTCCCCATTTCCATAGACTACTGCACCTCATCTCATGCTGTTCCCATCTTGTATGAGCAGCTTCGCGGATGGTGGTGCAAGGGGCTCATGATTGCCTTATCTAACCAGTATTGCCTTAGCCTAAATCTTTGGATAAGGTAACTCAACCATTCGAAAACACCCAGTGTTGTAGCCTTGGGTCACTTCTGATTTATTAATGAATATCCTTGTTTAATGCAACTTTCTTTTAGAATCGCTAATGTTTCCATGGAAATTGCCATGAAAGCTGATGAAATGTCTTTGGCTAGGGAAACAGCTCACCTTGTTGAGAAATGCCTGTGCCCTGCTGGTTATGCAGGACTCTCTTGTCAGGTATGTTATTTCCCTTTCCGTAAATGGTTTAATTCTGGCAAAAGGTCTTCTCTGCTGAAAATGCCTTAAAAATGCAAGTATTTCTTCACTTGTTTCTTTCTTTTCCTTTATTTAGGACTGTGCACCAGGGTACTACAGGTTAAAATATGAAGACAAAATATTAAAAATATCCCCCTCACTAATCCCACCCTGTGTGCCTTGTCAATGCAACAACCACAGTGAGACCTGTGACCCACAAACAGGAGAGTGTTTGGTATGTATGCCTCCTTCCCACTGCTTGTTTGGTTTTGTTACAGTATCAAAGAAAGGGCTTGGAGAGGGGATCCTGAAGAATAAAAGGTTATGCATTTACAATACCCCCCATTTAAAATGAAGAAGTGAAGTGATATCTGGAATAATGGCTTTTTACAGACAGTAAAAATTTGCATTAAGGCAGCTGCATACGTTATTAGATTAATTGGTGGGATTAATCCACTAAAGCTTTCATTTGAGATTTTGAGAGTACATGGGTTGATCAATGACAGAGGTGCCTTGAATTGCCCTGAGGAAATTCACACCTGGGACTATTCCTTCAGAAGCCAGAGAAAACCAGTGCTGCAATCTAGAATATCCTTGGCAAAAGGGGAAAACATCTCCTTCCACCCTAGTTCCCAAGAGCATCTGACTGTGGCCAGGTGTCCCTCCTGTACATCCCAAGGATTTTTCAGATTTCAGACACTTTCTCTTTTTCCATATAGGGACAAAAGGACTGATTAACCTGGAAGAGTTTCAGTGTTTTCAGCATTCTGCTAACTGCCGAAGTTGAGTTTTCAGTTTTGATGACAACTCTAGTCTATTAGCGTTAGGAAACTGAGTAATTTTGTTCTTTTAAAAGGGATCTTTGCTTGAGCAAAGGAATATGGAGCTCAAATAAAGACAACTAAACAATATTAGTAGTTTGTGAAAAGATGCTCAGCAGGTGTGTAAGGCACAACTTTTTGACTGTCCACAGTATGCTTGAATTGTGGTGGTGGAAAGTGCTGGCAAGTCACAGTTGACTTACGGCAACTCCGTAGGGTTTTCAAGGCAAGAGACATTCAGAGGTAGTTTCCCATTGCCTGCCTCCATGTCATGACCTTGGTATTCCTTGGAGGTCTCCCATCCAAATGCTAGCCTGGGCTATCCACATCAGGGCTTGTAAGGGTGTTATATATTTATTGGATGGAGCGTATTTGTAAGCGGCTTGTTTTTCTTGTCTAACTTTCTGCCTACTAGGGTTGCAGAGATAATACAGCTGGCGATCGCTGCAATGTTTGTGCCACAGGCTATTACGGCAAAGTGACTGGTTCTGTCAATGATTGTTCTCTGTGTGCTTGCCCAAGAATTAGCCCTGGGAGGTATCTAAAAATGATTAACTTTGATGTCTTTAATAATTGCTATTGTTACCCTTGTTTGTTGTCCGGTAGTACCCCAGCAGTGATGGGAGCTGTTCCACTACAGTTGTATTTCTAGGGTTTTCATAATTTGTCTGTTTAAAGAATTATTCTGTTATCAACCTTCATGCGGGTAATTTTAATACTAATGAAGATAGATGGTGAAATGGCTAATGTGGTGGCTAAACATTAAGATCGTTCAAGAAAATGTTAATTATGAATTGTACTGGTATACAACTACATGGTCTTCAGGTAGAGTTACTTCATGCTTAAAACTTCCTACACCTGAAAAACCAGCATGTCAGAGGTTAGGGATTAGCCCTGCCTGTGTTCTAATATACCAGTTTTCTGTACGAAGAGGACTTTTTCCATGGGGATGCAGGAATGGCCTCTAATTCTTTTTCATTTCTTGTTTGTTCAAGTTTTAGTCCAACATGTGTTATGAAGGATTTTAATGATTTCCACTGCAATGCTTGTATCACAGGTTATGAAGGGCAATACTGTGAAAGGTGAGCTATCTAAACCCTTAAGGAGTTTGATAACCAATGACATTGTGATTTGAGCTCTGAATAGTTTCTGCACACCCCTGTTTCTATGTTACGTTGAAAAAAGAAATGAACTAATGAGACAGTATGTCATGTAGTAGGATCCTAGCTTTTTTACTGGAGTGTTTCAGTACACTTAATGGCCATGCATGCTTTCTTGGAAATAATCCTCATTGAATTCTGTGGGAGTTCTCGTAATACATGTTGTTGCTCTGCATGATACTGAAGCCAGTTTTTGAAATGGCTGTTTGCTGGCCACTCAGAAGATGGCCAACATTTCCATCGAGCCAACACTGGTTTATTGCTAATGCATAGCCAGTTGTTTCAGTTCTAGTATGAGACTTATTGAATATACTTTTTTCCTGTGGTTTTTCAAATTCTTTTCCAACAACTTTTTTCCTGTGGTTTTTCAAATTCTTTCCCAAAATTTTCAGAATAGGCTACAGTACAGTGTAGGTTACGGATGTCAGTCCACTGTGATGAAGGGTGCATGGAGCAATGGAGAAGGTGATAAGGATAAATTAGTGGTGCTGCTGGGAACAAGGTATTTAGCCTAGAATCCCATTATACTTGGCTGCAAGACTGGGCCTTCAAGAAATGCCTTTTCTTTCTCTGTAGGTGTTCTCCAGGTTACTATGGAAATCCTGAGGAACCTGATGGTGATTGTCAGCCTTGTCAGTGCAACCTAAATGGTTCCATCCACAACAGTTGTGACCATATCTCTGGGCAATGTGTCTGTAAGCAAGGTGTAAGAGGGCAGCTGTGTGATGAATGTGAAGCAAGGCACATTCTTGTGGAAAATGAATGCATTTGTAAGTGCAGTTTAAAAAAAAAATTTAAATTGGTTTTTTTAAAGCATTTTGCAAGATGGGAATAGGGATGCTGTTACCCACTGCTGGTCTTCTGTCATACCGTGTTCAGACAGTCAATCTAATTTTATAATGAATGTGTAATGTTCTGTGTGTTTTAATGCTGGAAACTTCCTAATGTTGGCATATAGATATGTCAAATAAATAGTAAACTGATAAAATTTGATGCCATACTTAATGGGAAGTAAGGTCCACTGGAACCTAAGGGACTTTCTTCTCATTAAGTCTCTCGGATATTAAGACTACAAGTTTCCATGCCTTCTTACTGTAGCAGTTTGTCAGTACCATCTAAGGAACACTTTCTTGGGAGTACGTCATTTCCCATGTAGACATGATTAGAATTGTTCTCTCTGTGTTCTTTTTAGGTAATATGTGTTTTGTTAAAAGTTGGGGGATATTTTTCCAAAGTTCATGTTATTGTTTATACATTTTGTGTGGATGTTGGTTTGATTTTAGAATGGGCTTTTGGGGGTAGGTGGGATAGTTCTTTTCTGGGTTAATGTAACAACATATGCATATCTATCTTTTTAAATAACATCTTCTAATACTGTTGTTTCTTCAGCTTGTGATGATGCTTGCACAGGTTTGTTATTAAATGATTTGGATAATCTTGACAAAGCCATGTTTCTGGTCAACCTCACTGGTGCTGTGATAGCACCTTATGGGCTACTATCTGATTTGGAAAATGCAACAAAACACTTAAAGGTACGTAAGAATAGTAAGAAATGATTGAAATATACTTAGTCTTTTGTGACATAACTCTGGATCGAGACAGTAGTAGTTCTATTTAATTACTACATTTAATCTGCTGTATTAGCTGTGTAGGTAACACTAAAGGCTGGGAGACCCTCAGGAGTAGCTGGAGTGGTGGTGGTGGTTTAGAGGTATCTTGCAGGAAGGGAAAACTCGCAAAAATTGCTGCTCCCTTGCACCCATAGAAATTCTAGATGGGATCCAAGCCAATATTATTATTTTTTAATTAATAGCATGTTTTATTCCTAGATTGCACGCTAAGTACTATTAGAGCAAATGGACAATTACTGGAGTGAATTGCATTCAGATCATAAGAAATGTTGTTTGTGTATCATTCCTAATGAACACAGGGCTAAAATATGTATTTCTATTTCTAGGGATCCCTTTTATCTAAAGAAGTGTCAGCCTACTCAATGGAAACTGTATACAACCAGGTTGTAAAATTAACAGGTGATACTGACCAGATGCATAAAGAGGTCAGTTTTGTTTATTTTAAAACGAAATGAATCTAACCCTTGAAATACTTCAGAAGTCTTATTAGTAAATGACCTATAGAACTAGTAAAATAGCATTAGTAAGGACATATCTTACAGTTTACTAAGATTCTTTTATAAAGTAAAGCCAACATACTGACTTCTGCCTGGTACACTATGAGTGGTGATGATCATTTTTGTTTAAACGGTTACTGAAGAATCCCCCTTGCATGTGGTTTTTATGTGATTTTTAGCAGCTTCCTCTCCCCCAGAAATTTTTCAACATCTTGCTCTATGTTATCACTATCAGTTATGCCCTCTTTAAATAATATTGTACAAAATTTTTGAAAAATACATATAGTTTGATAGTAATTAGGTCACACCTCCCAGTGGTCATGACATGCTCGTAATTCTCATGGATAAGCAAGGCTGGGATTTATAGGTTACTCTTGCTGCTGGATCTGGTTGATGGAAACTAAACTTTAAAAAAGTAATAATGTAGTTTTATTTCACATGGCAATGTATGTTAATTTGTATGATTCTCGGTACACTTTTTAAAAAAAAGAAAATACTCTTTAAACAGTTCAACTTAAATAAAATAACCATTTGCTTTTACGCTAGTTAACTAGAATATTACAAAAAGGAGGACATCTCAGCAATGCGACAGAAAGGAACTTGAACAAGAGTCAGGAGTTGGCTGTGTTCAGTGAAACGTTACAGGCAACTGTTAAAGGTAATGTGATTTGTCGTAGGTGGCTATATTTTAGGAATGATACACTTTTTCATATGGAAAAGTTGCTTATAAAATGAAAATATTTTGCTGTGTTTTGTATAAATGTCAAAAAGCTTGTTTTTCTTCCCTCTATCTAGTACTTGTGGAAGTGGCAGCATCTCTTAATGAAACTTTACATACTGATTTGCCATTTGCAAACCGAACATTTCAGGATCTGCAAGATGAGATCCCTGTAATGCTGAAAGTAATGAATGGAAGATATTTCGAGAAGCTTTATCAACAAACCACTCTTGAACTAAAGTAAGTCTACTGGTACACTGGTGTTGTGGTGCACTGACCTTAATAATACATGCAGCAGACTTGCAGATTGAAGACTGTAGGCTCCATAATGCACTTGTGTTGCAACATACAACATCAATGAGTTGTGGCCTAGTGCATGATTTTTTTTTTAATGAGAGTAAAATGATTTATTGATTTTCAGCTGACCTTTAACACCAGGCTGTATTTCCTTTTCTGCAAATTGTGCAAATTATGGTTGTTATTAGAGGGTCCATAATGTGGAGTAGTTGAGGGGCCTTGAGCAAGCATTCAGTTATGTGGGATACAATGGACAGAATAAAGGAAAAGTTCCATATAAGTGTATGATTGAAAGAGTGCCATTGACAGAACTGAGATTTTGCTGGTTCTGTTTGAAGAGATAAGCAAGAGATTTTTTAAAAAAATCTAAGTCCTTATCAGTGCTGGAAAATAACTGAATTGGGGTTCATTTTAAAAAGGAACTTGATCATATGCATTTCAGGAATATTCAGGGACATCCTTAATAAGAAGGTATAGAGGGCTGATCTGTTTTTTCATTGCTGATAATAGTGGTAATTACTGAGGAAACCTTGAGTTCTTTTCAAAACGTTTTGTAAGGAACTTGCTTTGTAATTTTTCCTTAGGTCTTCTTGTTCTTGAAACTATGATAGGGAACAAACTTTGTCATCTTCACTGTGAAGAGGCTCAAACATTACTTTGCTGATACATGCAAGCTCCCTGTGACATAATCTTAAAGATACTAGTTTTCTAACTTAACATTTTTGAAATATTTTCTCCTACATAGTAATAACAAAATATTCAGATTTTTTTTGCAACGCTGATTTTATAATAATGTTACTGGAAAATCAATAGTATTACTAAGACATTACTAAGTTTTTTCAATATTACTCAAAAGTTTACCATGTTATGCCACTGTAGAATTAGAAACTTAATGTAGTGGAGCAGTTTTCTTAGAATGGTTGTAAGGATCTCCTGGCTTATGGTTTAGGTGAAATCCTTTCAGTATTGTTTATATTAAAAATGATCATCCAGACAGTGGACAGCATTATGTTCTCCTGTTTTTGAAACAGGACTATAATAAAGAATGTCACATCCTTTTTAACTACAGATACACTGTGTGGTATTTAGTTCAGCTATATAAGGTCAGCTAGTGCATTTAATCATGAATAAGTAATTTGTGTGTCTATGAGTTAGCAACAACAAAGTCTGTATTGTATATAGTTGATGTTATGCATGTTCAAACTTTTCCACTTTTAATAAGACTCCCATTTATTTGTTCTTTGTGTTTGTGTTCATTAGAGCTGCAGAAAGAATATTGACACGAATCCAGAAAGAATATAGGAGGCCCCAGCAAGAACTTTTGGACTTGCAAAAAGCTGCAAAACGTGCTTTATCAAACCACAACACAAGACTGCAAGGACTTAAGGATCTTGTGGATGAGGCTAGCAGTAATACCAATGAGACCAAGCATCTGCTGCTACTTCTTAATAATAACATCATGCAGTTTAGTGTAAGTAGATTGGTACTATATGGCCATATAGTTTTATAGCTGTTCATGGAAAAATATTTTTAAATAAATTGTATTTGCACTAGTAAAATATATTAGACGTTAAGTGATCTTTTCAGTATAAAATGCTAAATATGTGCATTCTATAACAGCAGCTTTTATGGAGCATTAAATACATCATAACTGCATTTCCATCATAGCATAAGAAGTTGAACATTCTGGCAGACAAGGAGCTCTCTGTTGTGCTGACCAAGGAAGGAAAAGCTCATGTGGATGCTTCTGCTACCCTTGCTAAAGATGTAATTAATGCTACATCTGTAAGTTACAGAATATTTTGATATTCATTTGATGCAGTGAATTATCCGTGATTCAGTACTAAGAAATGTTGACTATTTAGACTCTAGAAATCCACCGGGATGAATTGATCCTATGGAATGGCAAACTAAGACAACATGTGGATAACCTGGTCATGCAGATGTCCACCCGAGGAGCTCTTGATCTTGTTTACAGAGCAGAAGATCATGCTGCTGATTTACAGAGCCTTGCTCATGCATTAGACAGGTGAGAGCATTAACTCAGTCATGGGATTGTTCACATTCATGCCTAGTTTAAATAGAGGTCTGACTGGTTTAGAGGTCAAGCTGTGTTTGCTAGGGGGAAATAATTATGCTTGCCTGATAGTTGTATGGCATCTGTCCCACCTCCAGGTTTGCCAGATATAAGTTCTTGGGTATGCATGGGGGACTTCAGAAAAATCTAAAGTGTGTAGGCCCAAACTGTGCAGTTGATGTTCCATGTATGATCTGAGAATCATCCAGACAGTTTGTACCTGTGGATGTTAGATTTTAAGTACACAAGTCATGTGGGAATATAATGCTTAGTCAACGCTGTCAGGTAAGGAAAAAAGTGTGAAAAGCAATGCTGGTGGGCAGGGTGAGCAGACATGATTCTGTTTTCCCTCTATATGTACTCTGACAACAATCCACAAATGTTCAAGCCCATCCAAATTTGGCTATTTCCTTCATATCAAGCATTTTAAATTGCCATGATATCGCTAATGGAGGGCAAAGATAGCAGTCTTGATGTTTATATGGCTGTACATATTTTGAAGAATATGAATGACAACTTAAATACGGTGTAAAAGGAAGTTCTGTCATATAGTAGAACGGCATAGGAGATGTTGCGAAGAGTCGGACTCGACTGTGCGACTGAACGACAAAATAGGAGATGTACTGGAAATGTATTTTCCAGTTAGTCAAGTAATGTATTTTGACTTTGTCAATATGTTGTCTTTGGTCAAGGTGGGTTCAAAATACAACAGTGAGGCATTATGGGAAAAAACTGTGTGTGTCCAAATGCTGCTTTATATTTTATGTGAAACAGTACAATATTTCTCCTGCTGCAGTGGCCTCTCAAATGTTAGAAATATCTCCCTGAATGCAACAAATTCTGTCCAGGCCTACTCTACCATCAAAAGTCTGACTGAAAATGCAGAGAGTCTGGCAGATGATGCTGACAGAATTATAACTGAACAAGTGATCTTGGTAAGTCTTACTTTTATAATTAAACTATACACTTTTTGAAATTGACTGTACACTCTTGTAGTAAGATTTAGTCACTGAAGCGTGTATTACTGTAGCCATGACATCTTGCTGGAACATATATCTTATTGCTAGCCTTCAGATAAGAAATTGTGGCCTCTTTGGCTTGCTTGTCCAAGGTAAAGCAGTAGCATGGGTGAGCACTCTTAGAGTTTATGCAAGCTAACCCAGAAGTAAGTCCTACTGGGGCTTACTTCCAAATAAGTCTTAATAGGATCACGCACAAAGAAGTAGGCAGTTCAAGCAGGGTAAATGCAGATGTTGATCACAATTTTTGTGGTGTCCTCAGAATTCCTGATTATCAGTCAAGCCAAAAACATATGAAAAATGTAACCGATTAGAGATTGTTTCATATATAACTGTGTTTTCTCATGTGATTCTTTTTTAAGCCAAAAGAAGACTTTAATTCTACTGGGAAAAGAGTACTCCATCTTAGCTACACATTCTTAACTGAAGCAAAAAGTTTGCACAAGAAGTATCAAGGTATATACATGTTGTTTTTGGAATTTTGCCTGTTATAATTTGTTAAAAACACTTGTCTGCAGCAGCAATATGCACACATTGGCAAACTTCTTTTCAACCTTGTACATTCATACATTTAGATTAATCTGGAAAGGATTTGTAGGTTAGAAAGTGCTCTTACTTAATGTGAACAAACCATGCTGGGAGCTTGAACTGCTACTATAAATGGATATTGAATGAAACATATCCTCCCCTCAGACATCTATACTGACTTCAGTGGGAATTACATTTCATCTAATGACATTTTGGATTTTTGGTATTGGCCTTTTGATATCACGGTGACCCAGGTTGAAATCCTAACAAATCCATGAATTTACTACATGACCACACCTAATAAAACAAGGTAGTTGTGAGGGTAACATATACCCTAAGCTCCTTGGTGGAAGGATCAGATAAAAATGTAAACAAATAAAAGACACTTATAGAAGGCTGAAGTTTGCTATATGTTATTTGTTCAGTTACTGCCCTGTCCTTTTACTTTCTACAGTGTAGCATATTGTCATCTAGACTCTGTGGACTGATTAAGGATTGTGGTGTCCTGCATAGTATCCTGCAATGGATCTGTGCATTAAATCTGATGGCTGATGGCTTCAAGAGATACAGATCACGAGTTTTTTCTTCCCATAGGGCTTGTGTCTGGATTAAATGAAATGAACATAAAAGTGGAAAAATTTAAAGAGAAAGCTGATGGAATTGCTAAACAGCTTAATGACTCATTGTTGCAGATGACAGCACTGCCAAATGGTAAGTGAAGGCCATCAGACATACGTTTCTTCATTATATAATGCATGTATATTTAACTCCATCACTGTTTAGTCCTCTGTGGACTAAAATGGAGGTGAGGAAAACAATGCATTGGGAAGAAAGGCAGGGTATAAATGAAGTAAATAAATAAATGAATGACTCAAAGAAAATCCAAGAATAACTTCCTTGGCTTGAAGTTGCTGAAAACAGGTGAAACGGTGATGACTTATAAGGTCAGGATCTTGTGGTGTTTTTTATTTAATATTTGATGTGATAAGGCCACAGTCTAGTAGTAATAAAATTTGGCATTCGTTCTGGCAACCCCACTGTATTCACCTCTGCCAATTGAATACCTTGTAAAAATCCAGGAGGCAAATCCTTTCTCTCACCTTGCTATGAGAGAACCTAAGATAGCAGAGGGATTTCCTTCCACTGAGTGAGAAGAATTCCTCTGACTGAGCCCACTCAGCAGAAGGAAGTAATTGGAATGAACTGTTGTGCTCCATGCCAGGAAAAGTTTTGACTATTGATGGGTTACATGCACTTTCAATGCTTTACTTTTGAAGAAAGATAAAGCTATTTTTCCCTAACTGACACGTTTTATGCTGCTTTGAAACTTTAAGCTTATAAGATACTTGCAAATAATAAATAAAATATCCTGACTAAACCAAATATATCCTTGATGCTTTTATTTCCATGGCATCAAAAAAGTGGAGGTTTACTGAGTTTTCCAGTTAGATTGCATTCGCACAGCTTTTTTTAAAAAAAATGGTAGTTGCTGTATTCGCTATATTGTAACATTTCTAGTGGCACAACAGAGAATCATTGCTGTGTGGATGCAGAATAATAGCCTAGAAAATCTAGGAGAAATAGGAGATGGGAAAAAAGATATACTGATTGTAATGTTTCTTCAGCTGTAGTCTCTGCCTGTAAAATTTCTGCAATAAAATGCCGAGTCTGCTTTTAATGGCCATGTATCATACAATTGCTCATTGAACCAATAGTTCAGTTAACATTAGAAACAGTCCTCTTCACCATTCAGGATGTTACGGTACACTGAAATGTAGAATCAGTTCTAATGCACATATTCTGCACATACTCTGTGAAGAACCAAAGCTGTTGATGGCACTTTAAGAATAAGGTCTTGCAGCAAATCTGGACCAAGATACTTTGTTCTGTAATATAAAAATTTTTATATAGTTATTTGGGGTGGTTTTGTTCTTTTAACTTACTATTATATCTATTTTAGCAGGTTAAAATGTTAAAAAAATATTTGGCTTATGTTTTGTATAACTGACTGCATGCATGACTACTAAAGAACTCTTCTGCTGTGTGTTCTATTATTGTGTTGTGAGTTAAAGCTGACATGTGAATGAAGCAAGACCACATAAAAGAGAGAATGTTTAATACATTGCTTAAAGAATAACAAATTTGATTCATTCTCTGTGTTTCTGCAGTCTCTAGTTTTTCTTTTGTATTTGTGATCTGCTTTGACTCTAGCATTTTTCAAAGATAGTCACGTAGGTGATGATTTCCTTTAATTCAGGTTGAGCTATCTACGTAAAGGAGATATGTGTCAGATGGCGGAAGCTGACATAAAAACAAGTTGTTATACCTTTAACTGCATGCACATTCTACAAATGTTACACTTGGGTAGGGTAGATGGTAGCATATGGCTAGCATGCATTGGCATCACGAGCCAACATTCCTGTAAAAACTGAGATTGCCCAAGACTACCTAGCAGATTGAACTGGAAGTCTCAGCCTGTTGGCGTCCAACCACTGAATCCCCTGACCTCTCAACTGCCACATTGTTCTTGGTTCACAAACTTGTAGAAGCTACTTTGGATGTGACTTCACATGCTTAGCATGGCCACAGCCTGTGTGCTGCTAAAACCAGATGTTGGCTATTTTGATTAACTATTTCAGTGTTGTCAGAATTCTTGACAAAATCAATGTGAAAAAAAACTTATGAGGACTTCAGATGCTGAAGCAGCAATGATTTGAACCCTTTGTGTTTTCTGCCAAATAAAGCACAATAGATAACTGTTGTGTTCATTATACATTTCAGATACCAGTGAAAATATCATTGCAGTGAAAGAGCTGGCTATGTCTGCTAATGTGACCGCTATTAATGGTTTAAACCACACTGGGGGTTTTAGTGAGAAGTTGCTGAACACTTCATCTGCATTGTCCAAGGTTAATGAGACGCTGCAGAAAACCAATGAACTTATAATCGACTCATCAAAAGCTGGTAGGCTTGCTGCTCCATTGCTCTCTGGAAATGTCAATGTGTGCAAGACCAGGGTTAATTTTTAAACCAAGTATCCCATATCTTTATGTAGATAAAAGCCAGTTTATACCTCTTTGTACATGTACAGGACCCCTGAAGTGAGTGAAAATGAGATTTGGTAAAGATCTTTCCTTTTAAACTGATGGTCCTGAAAATGTTGCCCAGATTAAAGTGGAATCAGTATTTCAAATAATAGCAAGCAGAAATGAAAAGGCAGCAGTTGTAGGACTCTGTTCTCAGAATTGCTTATGAAGTGTATATTTTTCACCATGTTGTCTAGTGTAACAAAACTTAAAAGTTCTGTTTTCCCTAAATACTGGTTCAAGTACTTTCTAGGAAAATTCCACCAGTACTACATTTCAAGACCGTAACTTCTTATCTTGGCAGTAGCATCAGCTGAAAGAAAAGTCAGTGAAGTTGAAATCCAAGCTGGCCTCTTGTTTGGTAGGCTGAAACCCCTGAAAGCACTGGAAGAGAATCTGAGCAGAAACATCTCTGAAATTAAAGAGCTCATCAGTCAAGCCCGCAAACAGGCAGCTTCCGTAAGCAGTTCATTCTAGTCTAAAATAAGTCTTGGTTCCCCTTATGAACTTCTCAACGGGGGGAAAATGCTCCTTAGTTCCAATATTGCACCTAATAAGTAGACTGCTTAGATGTGTAGTTGTGTGTATTGGAAAATGAGAACAGCCACAATTCAGAGGGTTGTGTGTATATTTATTTTATTTATTTATTTTCCCTCAATTTGTATCCCGCCTTGCCGGTGCAAACTGGCTCAAGGCGGCTTCCAAAAGTTAAAATACAATAAAACCAATAAATACAATAAAATTTCAGTATGAAAAATTACATAAAGTGCTAAATATAAACAGATGGCGGGAAATTTCTGTACATGGTCCGCTGGAGAGAGGCCATATCCGGCATTGTTACATGTGGTATGTTCAGTTTGCAATGGTTGCCAGTGGCAACTACTAATCGAAGGCCTGGTAAAAGAGCTCCGTTTTACAGGTCCTGCGGAACTGTAAAACGTCCCGCAAGGTCCTGATCTCCTCCGGGAGCTCATTCCACCAGGTAGGAGCCGCCACTGAAAAAGCCCTTGCCCTCATAATGGCCAATCTGGCCTCTTTCGGACCAGGGAGAGTCAGGCGATTTTGTGACTCTGACCTCAGTGCTCTCTGGGGCACATATGGGGAAAGGCGGTCCCTCAGGTAGGCAGGCCCTTGACCATGTAGGGCTTTAAAGGTCAAAACCAGCACCTTGAAGGGAATCTGGTATACAATTGGGACATATTGTTGTTTTACGTTCAGCAATTTTCTATGCATTCTTAACAACTAGGGGTATGCAATTTTTTTAAAAAAAATAAATGTATTTTTCTGTTTGGGTCTATTGGACCTGGAAGGATTTTGGGATTTCAGAAAAATCCCAGATCCCAATACTGCTACTGTAAATCGCTCCCTGTGGCATATCTGATCCTGGTTGGGCAGGCTTCTCCAGCAGCCTGGTTTAACCTGGGCTGCATGAGAAGCTAACCCCAAGCCAAGCCAGCAGGAACAGTCTACTCCCCACTGGCACAGCTGATCCTTGGCCTGTCTTTTGCAGTCCCTTTAAATTTTAAAGGGATTGCAGCAGAAGCCCGACAAACAGCTGAGAGGTGGGGGCAACCTGCTTCCATCTCTCTGCTGTTTTCAGATCTACTCAGTAATTCCCAAATATATCTGGGATTTTGGGGGGGATTTATTTTTCAGTTTCCCCAAGAAAACCCAAATATATTTTTGGCTCAGTTAGATCAGAATGCATATCCCTAGTACCAATTCCAGTTTCAAACATGGATTGTTGTGGAGCATTGGTGTCTGAAAAGAGGAAATCAAAATTCACTTAATTCAATATTTTAGCTGTAAATAGCTTTTGTTAGGAATTGCATGCTTCTGTTTCCCTAATTCTGTGGGTTTGCAAAGAAATGTATACGGCTCTCAAAATTTTATCTAGATGGGTAGCCATGTTAGTCTGTCTGTAGCAGTGGAAAAGGTTTAAGAATCCAGTAGCACCTTAAAGACTAACCCTACCACAAATTTGATTAGTCTTTAAGGTGCTACTGGACTGTTACTCTTTTCTAATATTTTATCTGTCAGTCTGTGGAGAATTTTTTTTGCCAGTATACTGGCAAAATAAATAATTTTAGTAAGTGCTTCAGATAATAGTGAATGAGTACCTCCTTCTTATGTTTACAGTTTCTTTAACAGAATGCAGCAACATATTTTTTTTCCTTTATTGCATATTTAAAAGCAATGTTTGGTTTTGTATAGCTTCAGTGATCAGGCTGTTATCTGTGAACAGTTTATCACACACACACACACACATACATACACACACACACACACCCTAACAAATATTTAGCACATATGACCCTTTTGTGTAGTTCACATTTTACTAGAAAATGTCTGAATCTGAGATACCTGAAATATGTATTCAAAACTTACCTTTGCATTTTTCCCCCTCCTTTTTGCAGATTAAGGTTGCAGTGTCAGCGGAAAGGGACTGTATTCGTGCCTATCAGCCTCATATATTGTCTACTAACTACAACACTTTAACATTAAATGTTAAAACAACAGAAGCTGATAATCTCCTATTCTATCTAGGTAGCAGTGGTAAAGTAAGTAGGGGAATTTAGAGCATTTTCTATCCAATTGGTCTTCATTTTTGAAGGAAGAAAACTATTCACGATGTATTAAGTAATTTGAACATGCATTAGCTAGCCCTTAACAATTTTTAACCAGTCTGCTGCATTTGCAGACAAGCTGGTTAATCTCTGGTAAATGGCATAGATTTTTCTACCCTGTTCATACCCGTGTATGGCTGAAGTACAAATTTTGATCCACATTAGTGATTTGTGACTGAACCAAATGGCAGAAGATAGTCTGGATTAATTAATTTGCAGGATAGTGGTATCATCCTGTATGTAAAGGTGGGAGTGGAAAGGATGCCTGAATACTTCAAACAAAAGTGAAAAGCAGATGGCTGAACATATGGATATGCCTTATGTAGCATCAGAACATTCATTTATTTAGCTGGAATTGAACCAGGAACCCAGTGGATGCAGCAAATGTGCTCTGTCGAGCCATTGCTTCTCTTATAATGCCCTATGACATGCTTTTTCTACCAACTGAGGGGACCTACACTGCTTCTTATGATTTTGGGAAACCAGGTTTGTTTTAAACTGTAAACTGTCCCCTCAGTTACAAGAAAATCTTAGGGTAGCAAGTGTAAAGGCTTTGGGTTTGCTGCTGTGAGGTAAGTTTTGTGGCAAGCAAGTAGAACGTGGAGATCACTGAGGTAGGAGCTGTATGTAAATTTTGTTTTGTTTTGTAAATATTCCTTTATGTGGTTACAGGCTTTACAAAAAATAACAAGAAAAAGATATCATTAATCACATTAGTTACAAAGAGAGGATCATTAAATCTATATAATACACACACACACACACACACACACATATATATAAAAACCCACAAAATAACCAAAATAACCAATTCTCAGTGAAAACGTTCCATATAATCTGACAAAGTCCAGACTTTCCTAGCTGCACAGCTGTTGTTTATTTAGTTTCTTCTATTTAGCGTCTTCCATCAACTACAGTAGAACAATTAGATATATTTTAATATAGCTTCTTTGAACTGTTCTTTTGGCCTATGTTTATTACAGTATCTAATAAATGATGTCCAAAGTTCAACAAATAATTCCTGGGAGCCCTTTCCCCTGCGCAGATCCTCTTAGATGCTGTTATCTTATTCATCAAAGCTACATACCATGCCTTGCACACACCCTCATCTATACCCAGTAGATTTGGCTGCTTCCAAAATGTTGCCAGCCATTGCTTTCAGAAGCTGTATGTAAATAACAAAGAGGACATTTATGTACAGGTTGGCTTTAAAGAACAGATTAGAAGTGCAAGTCTCCAAATAGTCAAAGGAGAAACCTGGCTGAGGCACGTAAATTTAAGCTAGTTAGGGCTTCAGAATGTGTTTTGAATTTTCTTTAATGGTTTCAGGCACAAACAGGCTTTTACTGATCAGCCCCTAGATTGGATCCTTTCACACACACAGGATTCCCCCGACACCAGCCTGCCCTCCCCTAGGAGTCAGATTAAATAGTACAAGGTCTGCTCATCACCAGCGACAGGCTCAACAACCAGACAGGCTGTGGTCACACCGGCAAGGTAATTGCGCTTTGTTCCCGCTTTAATTTAATCAGGAACATTTTTCTTCGGGTTGGGCTGATTAGATGCAGCCAGCCCCTCTCTTCCACCACCCGCTCGCCTGCCAGCTCCTAAGGAAAATCAGCCGTCTTCCTCTGGCTATCCTTTTTTGCATTACCCGTGTTGATGCCTTGGCTAAATTGTCCTTACCGTCTCCGTCATCCTCCTTGCCGGACCCCCTCCAGGCTGCCAGAGCCCCCGCCTCTTGTTCCCGCCTCCAGGGTGCTGTAAGCTCTGACAGTTCCTCGGGAAGGGGCTTCTGTTTCTTACAACAAATTCATATTATCTTTAAACAGAGAAATGAACATAAAATAACATTTAATAATGGATTTATTAAGCGCATGTTTACTCAAGCGCTCAAACCGGAAGCTTTTTTTTAAAAAAAAATCGCACAAAGAGCGGTCATACGGTCCTAATCGCAATCATTGCGAAAGATGGCTGTCCAGATGGGCGAAATCACGCATTCAAAGCGCAAATGCCAGGGAAATACTTGATTTTCCGGAGGCAGGAAAAAAACGAAACAATTGCGGGAGTAAGCCTGCTTCAGCACGGGAGGCGGATTGGCACATGTGAACAGGAAATTTAAATGCGCAAGGGAACAGCAGCGAACCCCAATTAAAAGGACTGTGTGACCGCACCCTTAGAGCAGTTCCGCACTGGAACAGGCTTCCTTGGGAAGTGGCGGGCTCTCCTTCTTTGGGGGTTTTCAAACAGAGGCTAGAAGGCCATCTGACAGCAATGTTGATTCTGTGAACTTCGGCAGATCATGAGAAGGAGGGCAGGAGGGGTTGCATCAGTGCTTAGTTCTTGTGGCCCTTACTTACATGCCCAGGGAAATGCTGATCGCCACTTTGGGGCCAGGAAGCAATTTTTCTCCAGGCCAGTTTGGCTGGAGATCCAGGAGGGTTTTTATCATCTTCTAGGTGTGAAACAGTGGTTACTGGGGGTATGAAGGGAGAGGTATTTGTGAATTTCCTGCATCATTTAGGAGGTTGGACTAGATGACCCTGGAGGTCCCTTCCAACTCTATGATTCTGTACCCTTCAAACTCTCTGGTCTTCTACTGAGGCATACACAAACCATCACTGCACTCTCCAAAAAGCAGATCTGAACTAGGACTGTACTCTTCCTGAGGCAGACTTGAACTTAACTCCTTTGGTGATTTCCTCCAACATTCCATCCCCCTCTGGAAGGTGACTGGATGCTGGAATAGCACTCCCATTGGCTCAGGGATGAAAAAGTTGAGTGGCTGTTTTCCCCTTCAGGGGCAGGACAAGCCTATCTGTCAAAGCCCCTCATTCATAAAAGAACACGAGGTGGGACCCGCGATACTTGCAGGGGGGAGTATTCCCCGCAGCTCCTGGCTGGCCGACCACTGAAGCAGCAGGAGCTCCACATGGAGGAGGAGGAGGCGGCCGCAGGTGAGCCCAGCAGGTGGTCTGCCAGGCTACTCCCCTCCCCGCCGCTGCCACTGACAGCAACAACAGCAGCAAGCCCTGCGCAGCTCCAAGATGCCTGCCCGCCCACCAGGCTTCTCCTCCCACCCAAGCAGCAATGGCGGCAAGCCCTTCACGGCTCCCAGCCGCCCGCCTGCCAGGCTTCTCCTTCCACCCAAGCAGCAACGGTGGCAAGCCGTGCATGGCTCCCCACTGCTGGGCCCGTCAGGCTTCTCTCCTTCCACCACAGCAATGGCCGTGGCTCCCAGCTGCCGGTCACCAAGGCTTCACCACTGCTGCTAGTGGTAAGTGCGCATGCGCAGGGGACTCTTTTACTTTTTTTGGGGGGGGGGTTAAATATCCCCTGTATATTTTTTAAAACTTTTCAAATTTTTCTGCACATCTGGGGATTGTCCCAAATGTGCAGGAAAATCTCCCTGCCCCCCAAGTGCCCCCGATGTGCGGATTTTAGATATCCGCATGCAGGGGGCGCCTTGGCTATTAGATATATAGATTCTTAGATGTGTGTAAAGAGCTGGTTGCTCCATCCAGTGGCTAAAGTGCTGAGCATGAATAAACAGACTGAAAGGAACAGAAACACCTGTCTCAGTACCTTGTGTTCCACCAATGCAGTAGCCCTTCATTTGTTAACTGTTAATCAATTTTTTAAGAAATAAAATCATGTCTTGCATAACTACAATTCTTTTTGGTCATACTAAAATAGAGTTCTTGTGACCTGGTGTACCCTCTGTGACATTAGTAAACTCTGAATTCATGAGAGCAGGGGTAGCTAAGCCAGTAGGAGAGCACTCATGAAACCATTACAAGGAAATACATGGATTGCATACTCTTGAATTTACTGTAGGGAGAAATGATTGGTACTTGTGTTATAGACATGAGGCAGGCTGGGGCTGGGTGCATCTTTGCCAAGAGTGTTTAATAGGGATGATAGCAGTGCAACTGGATGCAACTATGGGAAAGGAAATTTGTTAGTGGGCCAGTGTCCCGATTGAGAGATTTATCTGTGCTCATATGGGCACTGATCTTGTGCATGAGTGCTGCTCTTCATTTCAATGGAGGAGGGAGCAGATAAGGAACGTACAAAGGAATATGCTTATAGGTCAGCTTCCTCCATTGAACAGAAAAGGTAAGCTGTTGTGGGAAAGGGAGTTCTCTGTACACACATTCAAGGGGTCTTAAGGAAACATCAGTGAGGAAGGTCAGTGGGAACCAGTCAGCAGGTAAAAGGAATATATACCATAGTCCACTTCTTGACATGCAGCAATTCTGGAGTGGGGCTTGAATTTTATTTACATCTTTGTCTAACATAGAAAACTGAAATGGTGCTCCTGCAGATACCAGCATTACCTTTGTGAGTAGAGGTAGCTAATTTGGTTGTTTCTTTTAATAGGTTGCATTTATCTGAGAACAATTTTTCCATTATCTGCATTGTTTATACTTTCTGAGCCAGCTGTATCTTCTATTAAATAATCATTTGGATGATTAAGCTTAAGTAATTTTGTATTGTCTGAAGATCTTGCAAATGATCTGGTAGTCTTATTTTTTGCCCCGAGTGCTTGTTTTGTATGTAGAAAGTTTAATGGCCCAGGCCCCACCAGTTCTTTAGAAGTTCTTGTAGATGTTGTTACCGTTTTCAGTATGAGTTTAATTCTTTGGCTAACTTCTCAAATGCCCTCCTAAAGCCAGTTTTTCGTCCTGTATTCTTCAGATGCAATTCATACATTACACAAGTAGCATGGTTGTCTCTTGAATATGGAGTGGTTAGGTTTCCATTCTGCTTAAGAAGTTGTTTGTTTGAAGCTTCTTTCTGTGTGCTTTGGGCAAATTTGGCCATGCCATTGGAACTTCTGTTTTCCAAGTCAGTCAGGTTTACCAAATGCCACAGGAAAATATGATTTTCTTCATGGGAGGGTGCCCATATGGTTCTGTTTCCAAACTGGTACCGTGCTGCCTATTAAATGTGTGCACAATCTGGATTGAACTGTTTTCTCGAAAACTATTTTGAAAAACTCAGATTGTAGTGATTTTGGCCACGCTGGCATTAGATTTGTGACCTAACCATTTTTATTTATTGTTTTAGACTGATTTCATGGCAGTAGAGATGCGACGTGGTAAGGTGGCCTTCTTGTGGGATATGGGCTCTGGATCAACCAGACTAGAATATCCTGACTTTACTATAAACAACAACAAATGGCACAGAATACATATCACAAGGTGAGATGCAGTTGGGAGTCTTAGGGGAACAGCAGATTCACACAGTCAGCTACTAAATTTGAAAGAATTGGTAACCCAAAAGAGAGAGCCATTTATTACAGATTGGAGTTAATTGACATAACTGGACATAGAGAAGCTGCTGCCAGCTCTGTATTATGCAAACTATCGTTTAGTCACGGAGTATCTTTCAGCCTGTTCATTGGGTGCAAATATATAACACAGTTCTGTAGTAAAGTAACAGTTTTTTCTTTTCTATGATAATCAGGTTTGGAAAAACAGGTACTCTAAGTGTAGAGGAGACAAACTCCTCTCGGAAACCCTTTATAAGATCCGCCACCTCTCCTGGGACAGCTACAGTGCTGGATGTAAACCAATCAACTGTAATGTTCATTGGAGGACTTGGGGGACAAATTAAGGTGAGAAAATGAATGATCTATGCTGTAACATCTTATAGTTAATTTTTATTATGGTTAATATATAATGTTGTAATGTTCTTAATTTCCCTGTGACAGTTGAACGAGATTAGTCATGCATTCAAAGAGGAAAGTAAAAGTGCTTCAGTGATATCTAAGATTCTGTGTCTCCCTTCTACTAAGTAAGAAGCCTGCAATTCTCTTCACTTAGTCACAGAATCCAAGTCAATGTTTTGGAAGTGTATAACTAAGTTGTTTAAGTGTACTGTTAAAAATGTAAAGTCCAACTATAAATGTGGATTATTGTAATTCAGTTGTTCTGTGTAGTATTTTCTCTGACATTATTGTGCACCAACATTTTACATATGTGTGTATGTGTTAAACAACTGAAAACTATTATGTGGTTTTCATAGAATCATAGAGTTGGAAGGGACCTCCAGGATCATCTAGTCCCACCCCCTGCACAATGCAGAAAATTCACAAATACCTCCCCCTCCACGCCCACAGTGACCACTGTTCCACGCCCAGAAGATGACAAAAAACCTTCAGGATCTCCAGCCAAACTGGCCTGGAGACATTTCATTGGGAGACAGGATATAACTGGAATATAAATAAATAAACTAATACAGGAGTGTGATTTGGTACAACCTCTTCTGTTAAGCTGTGCACATTGAATGTAGAGACCTATCATACAAAATGTTATCAGTAAAAGCTGTTACAGTTTCATGTGACAATCAAGAATATGTGGTGGTGTACATCATGATTATTTATGCCTTGCTTTAGATTTCTTTTCTCAGAAGTTACCAGTTTAACTGATTTATGTCAGTTATGTAATTTCTACCTTTTTATTAAATTGATATGCACAGGATTTGCTATTACTGCAAATATCTTGGTAATATCCTTTGTCGTTCACCGGGTTTATTTATGAATACCAGCAAGTTTAATCTTGCTCAACCTGAACACTAATAACTTGTATAAACTCCAGACTGCCTGATACTTATTTTATTCACTACATATATTTACTCTGTAACAGAAATCACCTGCCATTAAAGTAACACATTTTAAGGGATGCATGGGTGAGGCCAAATTGAATGGCAGATCTGTTGGACTTTGGAACTACATTGAAAGGGAAGGCAAATGCAATGGATGCTTTGGAAGGTAAGAGCTGGAAACACTTGTTGAAATGTATAGCTGAAATTAGGATTTCACAAGTATGGCTTTAATACAGGGATGGAGAATTGGTGAACTATCCTCTGCCTCTGGACTTCTATACCTTGTTTTATTATGAATTATCAACTGAGTATTATGTACAGTAGAAAAGTTATGATATGCCACATGAAGACTTTGAAATTGCCTACCACTGTTAAACATACACACATTTAGAAGCGGGCACATACACATATGTGTATATACATAGCTGCGGTGGCTCAAGTGGTTAAGACGCTGAACTGCAGGCTGTGGAAGGTGGGTAGTTCAGCAGTTCAAGACCTGAGTTGCCGCATGATGGAGTGAGCTCCCGTCTGTAGTTCCAGCTCCTGCCAACCTAGCAGTTCGAACGCAAGAAATTGCAAGTAGATAAATAGGTACCACTTCAGTGGGAAAGTAACAGCATTCCGTGTGCCTTGGTGTTTAGTCATGCCGACCACATGACCACGGAAACATCTTTGGACAGCGCTGGCTCTTCGGCTTTGAAACGGAGATGAGCACTACAACCCTAGAGTCGAATTCGACTGGCTTTCGAGCAAGGGAACCTTTACCTTTACCTTTTTACATACACATCCAACCTTAGTTATATCGTTTACAGAAACCCATCTGTAAATCGGCAAGAGAGTGCTTGTGTTTCAGTTCAACATAGTGAAATAACCATGGTTTAACCATAAGGCACATGCTTCTGATTCTGATTTGGACACAAGCCCTGGTTGCCCGGTTTTAATATCACAGTAGTTATAGTTGTCATGATTGAGGAAGTAGAGGAATTGCTGCACATGAGATTGGTCAGGGGGCGATTTAGAGGAAAGCGCATGTGTGTCTTCTAGATAGTGAAACTTTGATTTGTCTGAATCAGACTAGGATTTAGAGATTCAGATTGTTTTGTTATTTAATTCACATGTTTTTCTTCCTTCCAAATGAATGGCTTCAAATAGTATCATGTAAGTTATTCTCTGTAACATTAAGCTTTCAGTAGCCATAAAGAACAAACATCATGTATGAGAATAAATCATTTTTTGAAAAATGATTCCTTGATTAAGAAAGTTTGAGTCCAGTGGCATCTTTAAGACCAGCAAAGTTTTATGCTGGGTATACGTTTTCATGTGCAGACACACTTCTTCAGATACATTGAAACAGAAGTCACCACTGAAACAGAAGTGTGTTGCTTGTATGTAAAGGTTGATGACTTCTGTTTCAATATACCTGGAGAAGTGTGCGTTCCATTGTTCCCTCTAAGCTGAGTTAGTGTGAGCTAGCTCACAGTTTTTTAGCCTCCAGCTCACACCTTTTTGTCTTAGCTCAGGAAGGATGGCTCCAGAGCAAACTAATTTATGCAGTAGCCAAATTGCTTGCTCACAACTTTAATGCCAGTAGCTCACAAAGTAGAATTTTTGCTCACAAGACTCCACAGCTTAGAGGGAACGTTGGAGTCACTGTGTTCGCACGAAACATACCACTGGACTCAACCTTTGTTCTGCTGCTTCAGACCAACATGCCTACCCACCTGAATCTATTCCTAGATAAGTATCCTTTGTAGCCACAAGAGGGAGATACAGGATTATTTTAGAAATCTCAGTCGCTCCAACACAGGGAAAAAGAATAAGTATGGCTAATTTCACAAGCTGCTTTGAGATATTTTCATTTAAATCCATACAAACATTGCAGAAGTATTGAAGATTTTAGGATAATAATGTTCTTCGGTGTATCCTTAATCTGTAATTTGGTTCATCTTGCTGATAAAAATGACAGGCAAACTATGTTAAAGTTGCTGCAAACACTTCCCCAAAAACATTCCAGAGGCCATCTTGAAAACATGCCTACTTGAAACTATATCACTTCAACTTTTTCGTATGTGCCACCTTGTCATTCTGACTCCTACAGAACTATACCAGCAGAAGCGCATGCTTTTCAATCAGTAGCACAAGCGCTGATGCTAAGCCTTGCCTGGTTGGGAAGGAAGCTGTCATTCATCTCTTTGTTTTCTTTGCTTTCCTAGCCTGCAGGATGAAGATACTGCATTCCATTTTGATGGCAGTGGATACTCGGTGGTGGAGAAGGCGCTTCGCTCCACTGTGACTCAGATAATCGTATTTTTCAGCACTTTCTCACCCAACGGGCTCTTAGTATATCTGGCTTCTAACGGCACAGTAAGAAAATTGGTTTAGCTTTAAGGGTGTGTATAAGCTAGTTAGTCAGTCCTATAAACAACATAATGCATTTAAGGCCCACTGTGGCAAAACAACCCCCCCAAAAAAACCTATAATAATGGTGTACAATAAAAACAAAATAATGGAACACAAGTTTGGGACTTTTCAGTCTAGAAAAAAGATGGCTGGGGGGGCATGACAGAGGTTTATAAAATTGTGCACAGGGTAGAGAAAGTAGATAGAGCTTTTTCTGCCTCTCCTGTCATACTAGAACTTGGGTACCCAATGAAGCAAGTGTGCAGTAGGTTCTGGACAAGCAGTGAGCCCTGACAACTACTCAATGAGTAATTAAACTGGAGTTCACTGCCAGTGGAGGTAGTGATGGCCACAAGCATACATGGCTTTAAATGGTTATTAGACAGATGCATGGGGGATAAAGCCAGCCATGGCTACTAGCCATGGTGAGTTAAGGGAACCTGAACATTCAGAGCCAGAAAATATCCAAATACCAATTCTAGGAGGTAGCGTCGGGGGAAGGCTTTGGCTTCTGTGCCCTGTGTATTGGGCCCTCTAGGACAACTAGTTGACCACAGTGTAAACTGAATGCTGGGTTAGATAGACCACTCGTCTGATCCCGCAGGCTGTACTTATATTCTTATGTTTAAACTTGTCCATGTTCTTTTATTAATTCTGCAGACTATAACGTATGAAGTGGTAGGGTTTTTTTAAATTATAAACATTGTCTATATGATTAATTAACAGTGTGATCCTATGCAGAGTTACTTCAGTTTGAGCCCACTGAAATGGGTTTAAAGTGGAGTAGTTCTTCATTGGATAGGATTGCACTATTTATTTCTACATTATTTTCACACATAATCTATATATTAAGTGGTGGGTAGGCCAATGTCATTTCTTAATTTAGTAAGTGCCTCTTCCTTTTACTATTTTATGTTGCATGCCTCAAAGCATCTGTAGCACTGTGGCTGAGAGACTGAGCTATGAATGAAGAAATCCATGCTATGAATTCATGAGCTTCCTGTAAAAGCCACTGTCTCTCAGCCACAGCCCCCTTTGCAGTGACTGGAGAATACAGACTCTTACAGACTCTTACAAGGCTGTTGTATGGATTTTAACAAGATAATGTGTATGAGCTCTATAAAATACTGTATAAATGCTAAATACTGTAAAATGGCTTGTTGTTTTCATATTGATACCTTAGAATTAAAATAATAGATTGCCTTGAGCAGGACTCTGTAGTGGTAGCATGGAAATCTCTTAAATAAATAGCTACACTAGTCACCAAAGGTAGGAAATTCTCAATTTTGTTTTTTTCTAAAAAAGCAGACCTTAGCACAAAGAAAATCTTTTCATGCTACAATTTGATAATATATTTGTTGACATATTGGACAAATTCCCTTTTAAATAAAAAAGTATGTTCCTGAAATTGTTTCTTTGATTTGCTAACATTGTTTCCTTTTCTGCAGAGGGATTTCTTGTCTCTGGAACTTGTTGATGGCAAAGTTAAACTAACTGTTGATCTTGGTTCTGGTCCTCTTACCCTTCAAACAGAACGTCGTTACAATAATGGAACCTGGTATAAAATTTCATTCAGTCGAAACAAAAAGGAAGGTAAAGTGTGTTAAGAGAAAAGTGATAAAAAGAATGGATTTTACACACTTTTGCAATCAGATGTACTCATAATCCAGTAAAAAATTAAGCATTGTTAAGTTCCATTAATTTTAATGAATCTATAGGATTTAAGGTGCTTAAACTTGGAATTAAGCATTGTAATTATAGGGGGGGGGGTTGCACTCAATGTATTGTTAAATTGTTTAGTACACAAGCAAACCTTATTCTGTAGAACTGGAGCTATCAAATACTTGTCACTCATTGTCATAAGTCAAAAGGAAAATCAGTTGAACATTTCCAAAACTTACTAATTTAAATTATACAGAAAATATTCTTGATGTAGCTAGGAAGATTTGACAGAGTTGAAAGAAACAGTGTGCACTCCCTTAGGACAAGGAGCTACAAGCTGTTGTTATAGTGAGACCGTAGTTAAGTTTTTAATTATTCTTTGGTGCAAAGTATGAAATTCAGATATTTAAACACCTTTTCAGATTTGGAGAATTATACTAAAAGTTCATTGCACTTTGTTGTACACACAGTGTGAATCATCCCCAGCATCACTTTTCATAAATGCAGAATAGCCTTCTCAGCTGTCAACTTTCAGTGTATGCTAATGGCCATGTTAATAGGCTGTGACACTTGAAAGCCTGTCACTCGGCGCCCGTGTCTCTGTGGAGTATTAGAACTGGAGGATCTGCCCCATTATATCCTTGAGAGGGGGTGAGCCTTTGTACTTATTAACTATTGCCACTTGGAAGTAGTATACCCTCCAACCATTCACAGGTAAAAACCTGTTTCCATACCAAACTCACCTCTCTCCAGGTCCCCCAGCTTTAGCCTTACTGGTGCATGTTGTATTCATTTACAATAACCTGTCCTGCACTCTTTTAAAAACCAGGAAGGTGTTTGTTCTTTTGATGAAAGATAGATTGAAAATGCATAGTTGTCATACAGTTTGCTATTGACATTTCAATGGCTGCTTTCACACACGTTGAATAATGCACTTTCAGTGCACTTTAGCAATAGTTTGCAGATGGAGTTTCCAGTTTAGTGTCAGTCTCACTGCTATGTGAAAAGGCAGGGTATGGATTGTGTGCTTTGATTGGTTCTAATCTTACCAATTCCCGTGCCTAAAGCAAAGGTCTTAAGGAGAGTTCATCTAATACAGCACCCACGTAGGTTTGTTTACCTTAACCCTTAACTGAATTCTGAATGGATCTTTTATCTTCTGCATTAGGCTGAAAGAGTCTAACAGTGCAATCCTAAAAACACTCTCCTGAGAGTAAGCCCCATTGAGTATGCTACAGTAGAATTCCTAGCAGACCTGCTCTATGGTTCATTGCAGTTTAAGCCTGCTGATTTCAGTGGACTGAGACAGGGGTAACTGCATAGGATGGCACTATAAATGTCTTTAAGTCCAAGTACTTTGATTTATCATATAGTGGCTTTGACTGTAAATATCAAATTGTGGGACTGCTGCAAAGCAACACAAGTTTAGAGATTTCCAGCAGAGCTTATTTGCATACCAACTGAGGCAACAGACTAGTTTAAAGTTGGCCCCATTCTGCTTCAAGAGTGCAGTCTGGAACTGAAGGTAGGTGACTGGCAGGAGGAAATCAGAGAATATCAGCTGGATCTCATTCAGAGGCTTTTATCTAGCTCTGGTGCCTACAATCCATGACTCACAATTAAATTGGTTTGTGAAGCATGAAAATAAACAAAAGGAGTTCTTGATATTATTTTATGGTTTCTGAACCATTAGGAAGTGTGCGAAGTGCTTTTAAGATTTCTATTTGCAAGTCATGGAGGCCAAAGACAGTGAAAAGTTGAAATATCCATTACTTGCTGAAGAGAGAAATAGTTTCTGAAATAGCAAGTAGGCCTTATGCTTACATATTATGGCTTCAGGGAAAAGTGGTGTTGTAGAAGAGTTGGAACAGCTTAATAAAAATTCCTCTTTTTCAACATCTGGGACATCCCCACATCGATGTTTTTGCAACTCGATTGAACAAGAAGTGTCCCAGGTTTTGCTCCAGAGCGGGGTTGGACCCTCTGTCAATGGGGGACGGTCTGTTGATGTCGTGGGCTCACGACTTTCTATACCTATTTCCTCCGATTCCGCTGCTCCACAGGGTGCTTGTGAAAATACAACAGGACAAGCCCCATTGTCTCCTGGTAGCCCCCTGGTGGCCTCGGCAGGTGTGGTTTCCGACACTGCTGCGGTTAGCCAAGGGATCCTTCGTACACTTCCCGCAGGAGTTGGATCTCCTCCAAGCTCAGGAAGGCCAGGTCCTTCACTACGATCCTCTGAGTCTCAAGTTGACTCTATGGGAAATACGCTTTCAGTGATGGATGACCGTATCAATGAGGTCCTGTTGAATTGTCGTAAACTGTCTACTAGGACGTCTTACGCAAAGAAGTGGGATTTATTCCTACAGTACTTGAGTTCTTCCAATTTACCTCCTCCGCCAGTGGATTTGAGGTCTATTTTTGCGTTTATTTTGTCCAGAATGGACTTGGGACTCAGTTTTTCTTCAGTTAAGGTGTATTTAGCTGCGGTGTCAGCTTTTCATCCATCTATTGATGGGTTTTCAGTTTTCTCGCATCCTCAGACGAAACAGTTTTGTAAAGGTCTTATTCGCCTGTACCCTCCCCGTCGTTCTCCGACTCCGGCCTGGGATTTGGCTTTAGTTTTGCGGTTTTTGATGGGAAAACCCTTCGAACCACTGGCCACTTGCTCTCTAAAGTTGTTATCGCTCAAGACTGCGTTTCTGGTGGCCATTACTTCTGCTCGTCGAGTCAGTGAGTTGTCTGCTTTAAGGTGTGATCCACCATACTTGATTTTTTCCCCTCATGGGGTGTCGTTGTCTTTGGACATCTCCTTCTTACCGAAAGTCGTTTCGGAGTTTCATCTACGTTCAGATATAGTTTTGCCGTCATTTTTCCCGTCTCCTGCCAATGAAGAGGAACGGAAATTGCACTCTCTGGATGTTAAGAGGGCGTTGCTGTTCTATTTGGGCAGGACCAAGTCTTTTCGTCAGTCTCCAGCCTTGTTTGTTGCTCACAGTATGCCCTCCCTAGGGAAGAAGATCTCTTCCCAGACGCTGTCCAGGTGGATTGTGGAAGTAATCAAGCTATGTTACGCTTTGGCTAAGAGACCTCTTCCAGGTCAACTTCGCGCCCACTCTACAAGGGCGGTGGCGGCTTCCACAGCTTTCCTGAGAGGGATGCCATTGGAGGACATCTGCAACGCTGCGACTTGGGCTACTCCGCTCACCTTCGTGAAGCATTATGCCCTTGATGTCCGGTCTACTCGTCGTGTGGCGTTGGGTCGGTCTATCTTGCAGACGGCGCAGGTGTAGGGCCTCGGCCCCTCCTCCAGGTAAGAGTTATTGCTTGCTATTCTCCCAAGGGTGTGATGCACAGAGACCACGAAGAAGATAGACAGGTTGCTTACCTGTAACTGGTGATCTTCGAGTGGTCATCTGTGCATTCACACCACCCGCCCTCCTTCCCCTCTGCTCTCGGCCCTTCATCTTGTTCTTTGAAGGCTGTTGGGCGGCGGTCAGAAGGAACTGGCGGGATCTGCGTGCCCCTCCTTGGTCATGCGCAGTGGAGCCGGCGCGTGACCTGGGAGAGGCGCGAAAATCCCTTTTGCTAGCTATCGGTACCGAGAAGGTCAGCGCAGGCGCAGAGTATCCCAAGGGTGTGAATGCACTCCCAAGGGTGTGATGCACAGATGACCACTCGAAGATCACCAGTTACAGGTAAGCAACCTGTCTTACTTTGTTGTACACACAGTGTGAATCATCCCCAGCATCACTTTTCATAAATGTAGAATAGCCTTCACAGCTGTCAACTTTCAGTGTATGCTAATGGCCATGTTAATATAGGCTGTGACACTTGAAAGCCTGTCACCCGGCCCCGTGTCTCTGTGGAGCTTTACAACTGGACGATCTGCCCCATTATATCCTATTCAGTCCTCTTACTCAGAGCCCAGATCTAAATTTCTCAGAGCTGTGGGTGGCCATGAACATTCAGGCTAGAGGAGCACTTGAGATCTAGCACAGTGTGTCGTGTCTTAAGGTTTGTTGTCTTCTGTTGTATTTCAATTTAATTTTAATTTGTTATAATTACAATATTATAATTATACTATCATATAGTAATATTGGCCATATGCATAAACTTCTCTCACAGTGCAAATTACTTGATGGGCTTATACTTTGACATGGGTTGAACTTGAAAACAATCCTTTGTACTTATTAACTATTGCCACTTGGAAGTAGTATACCCTCCAACCATTCACAGGTAAAAACCTGTTTCCATACCAAACTCACCTCTCTCCAGGTCCCCCAGCTTTAGCCTTACTGGTGCATGTTGTATTCATTTACAATAACCTGTCCTGCACTCTTTTAAAAACTAGGAAGGTGGTTGTTCTTTTGATGAAAGATAGATTGAAAATGCATAGTTGTCATACAGTTTGCTATTGACATTTCAATGGCTGCTTTCACACACGTTGAATAATGCACTTTCAGTGCACTTTAGCAATAGTTTGCAGATGGAGTTTCCAGTTTAGTGTCAGTCTCACTGCTATGTGAAAAGGCAGGGTATGGATTGCAAGGCACTTTATTGTTCATGTGTGCTTTGATTGGTTCTAATCTTACCAATTCCCGTGCCTAAAGCAAAGGTCTTAAGGAGAGTTCATCTAATACAGCACCCACGTAGGTTTGTTTACCTTAACCCTTAACTGAATTCTGAATGGATCTTTTATCTTCTGCATTAGGCTGAAAGAGTCTAACAGTGCAATCCTAAAAACACTCTCCTGAGAGTAAGCCCCATTGAGTATGCTACAGTAGGATTCCTAGCAGACCTGCTCTATGGTTCTTTGCAGTCTAAGCCTGCTGATTTCAGTGGACTGAGACAGGGGTAACTGCATAGGATGGCACTATAAATGTCTTTAAGTCCAAGTACTTTGATTTATTATATAGTGGCTTTGACTGTAAATATAAAATTGTGGGACTGCTGCAAAGCAACACAAGTTTAGAGATTTCCAGCAGAGCTTATTTGCATACCAACTGAGGCAACAGACTAGTTTAAAGTTGGCCCCATTCTGCTTCAAGAGTGCAGTCTGGAACTGAAGGTAGGTGACTGGCAGGAGGAAATCAGAGAATATCAGCTGGATCTCATTCAGAGGCTTTTATCTAGCTCTGGTGCCTACAATCCATGACTCACAATTAAATTGGTTTGTGAAGCATGAAAATAAACAAAAGGAGTTCTTGATATTATTTTATGGTTTCTGAACCATTAGGAAGTGTGCGAAGTGCTTTTAAGATTTCTATTTGCAAGTCATGGAGGCCAAAGACAGTGAAAAGTTGAAATATCCATTACTTGCTGAAGAGAGAAATAGTTTCTGAAATAGCAAGTAGGCCTTATGCTTACATATTATGGCTTCAGGGAAAAGTGGTGTTGTAGAAGAGTTGGAACAGCTTAATAAAAACGATCAAGAATTTCTTTAGCAATTTGTTTTAACGAATCGCAAAGGGATGTCTTATGTATGTTTCAGTACGTTGACTAATATCAACCACAACAGAGCAAACTATCAGGTATTCATTCCTGTTTGCCATTTTTAAAATTTCATTACACCTCAGGGATCTTGGCAGTCATGGATGCTCAAAACCTCAGTTCTAAAGAATCCAAACAAGGAGAATCTCCTGGTGCAGCCTCCGACTTGAATCGTTCTGATAAGGATCCAATTTACATTGGCGGGTTGCCACGATCAAGGGCAGTGAAGTATGTTTTAAGAAATAATTTTCCTTTTTACTTGCTTAAAAGTTTGATCTTCCACACAGAAGGTCAGTTCAGACACAATGTGAAATGACGATGGTTAGTGAAACCAGGAATGGTTCTGTGGACGATCACTAAATCCTGGCTTGTCTCGATAGTTCCTGCTTTCAGCACTTTCTCTCTTTCCCCCACCTCCCCAGTAGGCATCTGGGTGCTGTCCCAGTTTGCCTTGCAGCACCCAACGCAGGGGGGAAGCCTTGCTGCACCACAGACTTTCTCATTAATGGCCAGAGGTACATGAGAGTGGGCAAGCTTGTCTTGGGAATCTGTAGCCACTCTTAAGCTGCAGTCACACAAACTAAATAATCCACTTTCAGTGCAGTTTCCAGCTGGATTTTTCTGTGTGAACTGGAAAAATCCAGTTGGAAATTGCATTGAAAGTGGATTATTTAGTGTGTGTGATCGCGGCCTTAGAATGGCCCTCAGACACAGATTCATGACTCCTTTCTTCGAAGTTGCCTGGATTTTGCAACTCCCCCCCCCAAAACCCCCCAACATGCTGCCAATTTCAGTGCCCCATTCTGTATGCAGAGTCTGCCAGAAATGCTTCCAAGCATCACATCTATGTTGCAAGCTATATAAGATGCTCTCAGCAAATATGGGTGTGTGTGTCCCCCCCAAGGGTATAACTGTGCTTAAGACTTCACTACTGATCTGAACTCCCCTTTGGTGGCCTGTGGTGGGGAATGAAAGAGATATATTGTGATGGGCAAACAGGAAGAAAATGTTGCTTATGCGTGATTTGTGAGCTGTGAATAGCACAAAACTTCATTGGGAAGAGTGGTCAGTGTACATTGGTGTCTGCTTGCTGTTGTGGAGTGCTCACTATATTCTGTACTGCTGGTTTAATGTGTATTCTGCAGCCATTGCAAAGTAGCTGGTGTTTCAAATTGCATAACCAGACAACTATTTCTTTCTGACTTAAATAAAGTGACCCTCAATGCCATCCTAAGAAGAGACACCCTTCTAAATTCATTGTCCAACTTTGTCCCAAAGTACAACTTCTAAGATGCTGTGTTTTTATTATGTTTTATTTTATAAGCCACCTCCAGCAATCACTCTGGAGAGACAGCATAGAAATTTTCTAAATAAAGAACAAGAAATAATGACATGAAGGGGGCAGGGGCTTAGAAAAGTGTAATCCTGTTTAGGATGATACTTCCTATGTTTCTCCCAGTTTATTTTTGCTTATTAATTTCTCTTTTAGGAAAGGGATTACCAGCAGAAGATATGTGGGGTGTATTAAGAACTTAGAAATATCTCGTTCTACCTTTGACTTACTTAAAAATTCATATGGTGTGAGGAAAGGCTGCATCCTGGAGGTAGGACATGCTAACAATTTGATTGGATAAATCATTGCTGCTTGTTGCTGAGACGTTAATTAACGGTGTATAATGACTTTATGTGATATTGTTAGCCTGTTGATGAAGTGTCAGGCCACTGATAGCTGCCTTGCCTTTGTTGAATACATACTGTTCTAATTCACTTATAATTTCTCTTCTTTTGCAAAACAGCCTATACGTACTGCTAGCATATTAAGTAATGGTTACATTGAGTTGCCACCTAAGCCTCTTTCACAAGAATCTCAACTTATGGCCACTTTTATTACCAAGAAAGCCACTGGCATTATCCTTGTGGGGCTTGGTAAAGGTGCAGAAAAGCGAAGACGCAGGCAAGCTCATCTGGTATGTATTTGGCCATTCTTATTTAGCTTGGATCTAGACTAGGTGCCTTGGTGGGCACAAGGATTTCCACCCGTAGCAACTGACTTCCCAGTCTCCCCCCTCTCGCAGCAGCCTGACATGCCTCCTGAAATCCTGTTCTTGGGGGAGAGAGGAGTTCCAGGAATGGGTTTTCTGGGTGCATTTTGGGCTGCTGCAGGAGCAAGGAAGTGGGGAAGAGTACTCTCTGTGGGTAGAAATCCTTGCATTTCCAGAAAAACTAGTCTGAATTAACTAGTTTTGAAGCTCTTGCATTTTTGTCTTAACCCTACTCTTTAAATTGGAGCTATAACATTTTTAGAATTTTATATTTTTCAAATTTATTATTAATTATTTCATTTAATTCATTTATACCCCACATTTTCCTCCTAATGGAGACCCAAAGTGACTTACATAATTCTCCTCTCCTCCATTCTATCCTCACAACAACCCTGTGAGGTAGGTTATCTCAGTCCTTTTGGGGAGTGCAGCTGTATTTGGTTTGGGTAGATGTTCTCAGGGTGCTATAGGTTTGACTGAATAGCACCTATATATTAAGTCTGTACCATCAACTTTTCTGGACTACCCACCCTATGAAATGACTGATGATCGTATTTTGAAAATGTGGTTTTCCTTCTAGATCAGACGAGATTGGGCGTCTTCAGGGTGGTATGGCCATAGGCTTCTAGATCAGACTATTTGCCCCCTCATGTTGCTAACATAGGTCATCTATTTGGACTATTTGGGATGATTTTTTAAAATTAATGTACCTTGAGTATGAAAGCATCCTAGGGTGAATGCTCCATTCCATTATCAAATTTGTGCTTTTGACGTAGAGCAGAAAATGTGGTTTTCCTTCTAGATCAGACTATTTGCCCCCTCGTATTTCTAACATAGTTCATCTATTTGGACTATTTGGGAAGATTTTTTTAAATTAATGTACCGAGTATGAAACATCCTAGGGTTAATGCTCCATTCCATTATCAAATTTGTGCTTTTGACGTAGAGCAATACATTTTTGGCTCACTTAATCCAGATGCCATGAAAGGCTTTCTGAGTTTAAATGCTTCTGCCTTTAAGTGGTTGAGCTAGTTTTTCTTTTAAGCTATTTTAATTTATTTCATACCTTCTGTTCTATGCTGTCGGTGTGTTCTCAGTGACCAATGGACCTTGTGGAGTGGGACTTTCCCTCTTTCCCCTCCTGCTCAGACCTCTGCATTTCCACATGTCCTGTAATCACTGGACCATCAGGAGTAGCATAGAGAGCAAAGGGGAGGGATGTACACAGAGGAAAGAAGGAATCAATAGAGATCAATACCCCTTCTTCCAAAGACTTAATTACCCTTAAGTCTTTGCAGCTGCGTAGTTGGATACATGCTGTTGTGATTCAAGTGCCATGTAAAGAAAAAGAGTAAACACTAACGTGACTATTAACTTGTTGTTAGCCCTTCTTCTCCGTCATGTTGTCTGATGGTCACCTGGCAGTGCACATTAATGCTGGAGACAGAGGAAGTACGCGAAAGGTCATGGTCCAGTCTACTAATGGAAATTACAGTGATGGGCAAGAACATTCTGTCATCCTGACTCGGAATAAAAGGTACAAGCTGGAGCACTTGTTCTAATTACAGAGTGTTGCTATCAGTTTAGCATATTCCCTGCAGAACCAACTTTGCTTAGCTCATTTCAGTGCAATAATCACAGTTGTGTTTTCCTGTTGTTCGTGTAGGAGTTCTGATTTATATGGTAATTGCGTACAGCACATCAGCTACTGATTAAGTTGCGCATGAAAGCCCTCTTGAAATCTCTCGACGCTTTGGGCCACCAGAGGGAATCACACCAACACAATTAGCTGTTTTTAATATTTATTAGGATGAGAAAGTTATGTCATATGTATGTTATCTGACCATAAGATTAGGACAAGAAATTAATTATAAAGATATTCCAGAAAACCTGTTATTTTTCACCAAGTCTTTGAAGTTTCTAGCAGTTAATGTGCTTACAGCTGGAATAGTTTCTTCTTGAATAACTTTGCATTTCTCTCCCCCCCTCCCCCAAGAATGATAGCAGTTCAAGTGGATGAAAATAGCCCTGCAGAAATCAGGCTTGGACCACTGGCAGAGAGTAGTCCAATGAATATATCTAACTTCTACATCGGTGGGATTCCTGCAGGAGAAAACATTCTAGGGGTCAAGATGACTAGCTCTTTCCATGGTTGTATAACCAACCTGATATTTAATATGGTGTAAGTTAAATGCGTGCTTATGTTTTAAATGTTGTAGTTTATAGAAAGTTGGAATACAGTTTTGGAGATCCAGGTTGCAAATCCCTGCTTTCCTATGAACCTCACTGTGCGGACCAGTCACTGTCTCTTAGCCTAACTTACAGGATATTTGAGAGGCTAAAATGGACATTGGTGACCATGTATACTGCCCTGAGAGCCTTGGAGAATGAGGGATGTTATAAAATCAATCCATCTATACAAATTGTCCTACAAGAACATATTAAAGTACATCCCCTTATTTAACCATATACACTAGTTATTAAGGAGCAGTTTATTTACTTATTTACATACATACTTACTTCATTTATAATCTGCCCTTTCCCCCCAGTAGGGATCCAATGTGGCTTGCACTGTTTTCCTCTCTTCCCTTTTATCCTCACAACAATCCAAGAGGCACATGAGACGGAGTTTCTGTGACTGGCCCACCCTCACCCAGCAACCTTCCTTGGCGGAGAAAAGGTTCTGAATCCTAGTCCAGCACTTTAAGCCACAACACCGCATTGGCTCAGTTTTATTCATTGATGGAAAAATTAACTTTATTTATTTACTGTACGTATAGTCTGCCTCAAAGCAGATTATACAGGACAAATTAATAACAGTCTATACAAAAGAGACTTCTAACAAGCGCAATGAAGGTCAATACAATCAATATGAGGGTTAGCAAAGTCTGAATGAGACTGGCATATTAGGCATGATGCAGAGTGTGGATACAGTGAAGAAATACGGTATGATATCAGCAGAGAATGATGAAGTGACAACAGGGTAATATGTGCAGCCAATTTATAAAATGTCCTAATCCACAGCTCCTTTTCCTTTACAAAGTGCCTTCCTGAACTATTCTGTTACAATATAGCCCTATTACCTATTATAGAAAAGCTCTCCTGAACAACTCCATTTTACATAGTTTGCAAAAGGACATTAGCGAGGGAGCCTTCCTGACCTCCTCAGTCAGGCCATTCCACAAGGCGAGGGCCACAGGTCCAGGTGATTGCTGATCTTGCCCATTTGAAGGCCCTGAACAAACAAGCAGTGCTGTTGTGTGGCAGAAGATATGAGGAGAGGGAGTTTTGACAGTATGAGGGTCCAAGGCCATGCAGGGCTTAGGATGTAATAGCCATTACCTTGAAGTGAACCTGGTAGCTGATGGGCAGTAGGTGGAGTGACCACAGAATTGGTCTGTCCAGCTCCTGATAATAACTGAGATGTGGCATTCTGCACCAACTGGACTTCAAGGCACATGTAGAGTGCATTGTGTGGGTTAAGTGCTGTCAAGTCACTTCCAGTTTGTGGTGATCCTATAAATTAATGACCTCTAAAACATCTTATTGTTAACAGCCTTGCTCAGGTCTTGCAAACTGAGCTCTGTGGCTTCTTTCATTGAGTGAATCCATCTCATGTTGGTTCTTCCTGTTTTCCTGCTGCCTTCAGTTTTTCCCAGCATTATTGACTTTTCCAGTTATTCTAGTATTCGTATAATGTGACCAAAGTATAATGGTCTGGTCATTTTAGCTTCTAGGTAGAGTTCAGGCTTGATTTGATCTAGGACCCACTTATTTGTCTTTTTGGTGGTCCATGGTATCCATAAGAGTACATTACAATAGTCTAATCCCGGTATTACAGTTGCATGGATCCAGGTGGCTAGACTGGCTGAATCAAGGTGGGGGAATCATCTTCCAGGCTTGACAAAGTTGGAGGAAAGCATTTCTTTTTTTGCAGCTGCATTAACCTGTTTCATCTGAACTCCATCAGAGGTGGGAAGTACAATGTCCTTCTCAACTAGCCATGCTCTTCTTTTAGGAGATACAGTTCTGCTTCAGTCATTATTGGCACTGCAACAGGTTGGCACACTAACTTCCGGTGCGAGATATATAGAGCAAGTGATGGAATAATGTATAAATAAATAATGTACTCTGTGTCCGTGTAGAATAATGGCTAGCACCAGCTTTAATTTTAAAACTTTATGTTCAAACAGTGTGTGGTTCTACTCTTTCTGTATCTTTTTGTGTAACCTAACCCTTTGATACTCATAGAATTTAAAAAAAAATGAAAACCAGTTGGTGACCAAACATTCTCTTTAAACTAGCCCCTCTCCCTTATCCAGTGCTGTGTATACAGTTCAGACAATCTGCCCATACAAACTTTTCTTGTTCGTAATCCTCAGTTTCTCTTAAGCCTTTTCCTTACCAGGTAATCTTGCATGAAAGGGTGGCTGCCTACAGGACCTCACTTGATGTAACAGTTGCTTCTTGGTGGAGACACATGTGCCAGTAGGTGCTAGGTCACAAAGTGTGTAAGTGCTGAGTTACGCACTCCTCTGCTAGATGCTTCGTGAGCATCCACAGACGGCTGACAGCTGTGGACAGATTTATTTAATTAAAACATTTATTAGCTGCCTTTCTACTAAATAGGAACTCAAGGCAGCTTACAATGTATATAATAAGAGAAAACATAAAATCCATTAAAACCACTAGTCAAAATCAATAATTTCAAACTGCTGGTAGGCAGAAGAACTAATCAAATGCCATCATGAATAAAGTCTCCCACTGTTTTGTGCTTTACATCATGTGCACTGCTGTCCAGCGTGGTAGAAACCAGTGTGAGGGTTGTTCAAATCTTGGTGCATAAGATTTGGGTGGGTACACAGTTGTTCTTGAAAAATTTCCTCAGACTTTATAGTATGCAAAAAGGCACCTGTCCACAGTATTTCTTTTCACTAAGTTCTTCTCTCTTTAAATCCCAGACTTCTGGATTTCACTACTGCAGTAAGGTATGAAGGTGTTGATATGGACAACTGCTTCCTTTTGGAGAAACCAAAACCCACCATACAGCCAGAAGACACTGAGATTCTGTCTGAAATGCAGATGCAATCAATTTCTTTAAATCCTCCTAACAACATCAAGGAAGTATGTTGTACAACTCTAGCCCAATCCCCATCCCACATTGGCAGAATGAGTCCTGTTAATAACATGTAGGGGAGGGTGTGAAAGACTAACTTCAGATTTAGGTGACTAGTCAGGGCAATATATTTCCTTTCTGTTCTTTGGCAGAAATAGATCTAGAGGAACCTGGGGAGTAGTTATAAAATGTTTCTGAATGAAGCCTTGTAACATTAATCGTATGTTGTTTTGCTTTATGCTGTGGATGGCACATAATAAAAGCTAACTTCATAGGAAACTACACTGAAGAGGCCTTGCAATGTATTCCAGTGCTCAGGCCTCTTTTGGTTTGCATTGTAGTGGACCCTAAGCTATGACATAAGATAGGAGTGGAAGTGTGCGAAGCTCTCTCCCATTTGTCATTTCCACCACACCGGTGTTTGTGTCCTCTACCTCTGTTCACCTGTAGCTGTGTCTACCTGAAGTCCTTCTTGTCACATTTGATTTCACTTTTCCTCAGTGGTCTTGACATAAATGTCATTTATTTCTTACTCACTTATTCCTCTCTCTCCTGGAACGGTGCAGTCTGCTATTCTTATGTTTCTGTCACTACAAGCTGAATCTGTGCAAATTTATTCCTGGACCTTGCAGTTCTTTTTAATGCAGCATGCTGGAAAAACGAATAGTGGGTTCTTCATCCAATATGTAATAGGTACCAGTTGGTGGGGGAGAAGAGAACATTTGCTTAGGATAAGGTGCATTTTCCTTACATCTTCACTTGCAGGAGTAGGGGTGGTGGTGTCCAGGTTGGTGTTTGTGTCCTGGTGTTTGTGCTCCCTTCTTGTTGCAGTTCCCTTCCTCTAGTGTTCCCATCACCAGAGTTTCCCTCCAGTTGTATCTGTGTGTTTAGTATGTCTAACATGATACCTGAGAGATTTTAGCCCCATGCAATGTACCCTGTCATCACAGCTGGTGGTTTCCTTGCTGTGGTTTATGTAATGGGTGTCCTAAGCTGCACAGTGGCTGTGAGACATGGTAGAAGGCAGTGGAGAGTCCAGTTATTTTTTCACATGCATTGAGTTATGTGGGGATTTTATGGGTATTCCATTGTTTTCTACAGAGGTATATTGTGGGCTGAAGGATGTGGTTTTAGGATATTGACTGATCCCCCACCCCCGACTCAGCCCTAGTACCACCCATTTCTGGCCCACTTTGCTAGCATCCTTAACTGGCATAAGCTTACACTGGTGTGGAACTGGTGCACCACTATATCACCATAGCTTCAGGCAATCTGGCATATGTCCAAGTTATACCAGTATAGGACTTGGTGTACTAAGCAATTTACCGCCTGGATTTAGGACTATATGGTTAATGTTTATTGTTCGGATACATAGTTTGAAGGGAGCATATGGGATTTGTATTCAGCCCACTGTGGGCATACATTCAAGAAGGGGTAATAGTTGCTACATTTGTGCACTTTTTCTGGCAAAAAAGTATGATTATTGTATAACAGAAGTGTCTCTTCATTTGGATGCATAAGTAAACATAACTTGTTTGTGTTACTGGTGCTGTAATAGTAGCCAGAAATTAAATGCATCTACATCTTGATGATGAATATCAAGAGTATTTGGAAGAGAAGCATGCAGTAGTTGATAATAAATTACTTTACATCATGTCTGTCTGAATTATGATGATAGAGCTTGTTTTTGATATGCTCGTGATTTGTATAGTGAGTCATCAGTAAGTGGTCAAAACTCCACTGCAAAATATTGTTGTATACCTGGTGGATTATTATGTCATTTCTTTCATTTACAGAGACAGTGTGCAGAAGATGATTTACTGAAACAAATACCTGGGGCTCATCAATTTGGCCTTGCCAGAAGAAGTCACTTAGTACTTCTTTTCAATCAGACTACAGTAAGAAAGAAGTAGGTATTTCAACATCACTAATTTATTTATTTACATGTGATTTCTATACCGCTCATGACCCCTAATGGGTCTCAGAGCGGTTTACATTAGACTACATCTGTAGTCGAACCTAACTAGGGCCACAATTTGTGCGGGTGTGTGTGTTACCTAACGGCACCCAGACAGCGGGTTTTTCTCTCCTTCCTCACTCTTGGCGGCTCCAGGCGTAGTCTCGGCGCTCCGGGCAGTCGGCAACCATTGGCGGGCTTCTTTGATGGATCCTCCGTCGGCGCACACTGCTTTTGGACTGCGGCTACGGCTACTTCAAATTTGCAAAAATACTGTACAGTGGTTGTTTGCCTTCAAGATGGCAGATGTTGTTATTGCATTTTTATATTTGAGGTGGACATGCAACCTAGGGCACTATCGTATGCAACCTCAGCATTTTCAAATGCAATTATTTGTGAGAGAGGTCAGCACACACTTTTGTCTCTCTCGGGCTAAGCTTAAAGCATTCAGCTAGGTGCGTGTGGGGTTGTTTTGGTAGGGGGGAAAGCCCTTCAGTTTTTCATCAATTTGGCCAATGTTCCTGAACCCTTTGGTTGATCAGTCATCCATGCTGGGGTAGATGTTACCGGAAAAGTTTTCTCTGGTTTAAATGAATGCCAAAGGAATGTTCATGTTTTGTGTGACCATTCTACAGTCTATGAACGTAACCTGCAAGGTCATGGCAAGGGAGCCCTAAGCATGTCTTTGTTTCATACATGGTTATTTAGGTGGGGAAAAGCTCATTCCAAGGCTGAAAATCAAAACAGTCATGGAAACAGATCCATTCTACCCACCCTCGGGCTGCTTGCTTTAAGGAAAATTCTGTCTTGCCCTCAAGCTAGAAAATGTCTGTGTGTAAATTCAAATATATAAATATTCCATGACTGCTGCATCTCTTCCCCTCAGCCTTCTTTCCTTAGATTTTTCTTCTGCTATTTTGCCCTACAGTTACTGTACCTGCTTGTTCATCCCTGTCCTCATATGGCTGCTCTGTCCCTCTAGCCTCTGCTTGTCTCTGTCTAGTCTCCACAGACCTTTATAGATAGTAGTTCTCTCTCTTTCAGGACATAAGATGGCAGATGTTATAGTGGCAACCCTAGATGTGAAAATAATTGCCCACTCCTTCAGTGTCATTGAGGGGCCACTTACAGCACAGAGGAGGAGGAGGAGGGCAGAGAGGCCAAACCCTCTCTCTGCCTGCGCTTGTCCTCTAAGCTGTTTTTGACCCTGCTGTTTTGGTGCTGTTGGGGTTGCAGGACCAGTTTTAAACACCCGTTAGGAGAAAAGTGTTTGAGGATAAGCGGAAGCAGTGGGTGCAAGAAGACGGTTTTACATCTGCCTCCTGCCCCACTATGATGCTCTTTAAATATCCCCCCACCTCTTGTTTTATATTAATTTAGTACATCCTGAATTAGGTTGTATCTCTGCATTGTTTAATTTGTTCTTAAAGTTTGCCTGTGATTTCTCCCTTCCATATGTGACTAACAGTTGCTTTCAGTAATTGCAATGTTCGTAATGTTCTCTGACATTATAAGAAGTGCAGCTAATAAGACCTGCTCTCCTCTTAGCCCACTGTAGGACTTCTCCCTAGTTATTTTTACCAGTTACAAACCCCAAAAATCCGCAGAATTTTTTCTCTTGCCAGGCTTAATGTTTTACCATCAGCGATTTTAACCGGAAGATTTCAGGGTATACCCCTTATTAACAGACATTGCCCCTGTTTAAATGGGGCATGTTGAATGTTAAACAGTGTCCCATGTTTAAATGTTGAAACAGTGTCCCATGTGTTGTTAGAATGTCCTTATTATAACAATATCAGACAAAGTATTTTATCTTCGATCTTATCTAGCATTACAGATCTTCCTGATGCATATAAACTGTTGTTTCTACTTAACAACACTGGTGACAATATAACTGATTCAGTAGCAAAAATGTTATATGCCGCGGTTTTTATACAAAGCAATATATTGTAATCTTGGGATATTTTAATTTGTAATTTTGTATGTATTTGCTCAATGTACAAAAAATTTTTTTACAATGCCAATAAAGGTATGATGATGATGGTTTTAAAAAAAAAAGTGCAACCGATAGCTGGTGGCTAGGGGACTGGAAGATAAATGACTGCCAGTTTTCAGCCTGTGTTAGTGCTTTCCAAACCTGCTTTTTGGTTTCTAAAACTGAGGTGCAACTACTTAGCTTCTCTTGTTCAAACCTTACGCGGAATGTTTTAACACAGTAAGTACTTTTAGATTTCATTATTTTAATGTTGTTATTTATGGTTTATGTTTTGTCTTCTTTGAGATTGATTGTAATGGCCTTTGCCTGTGTGCAACAAATGTCATCATACCATATTATACTACAAGCAGTATGTGAAATGATGTTTCTTTTTTATTTGTTGCTGTATGTTCTAATGAACTTTCCTTTTGGAAATGTACAGCAGCTTAGATGGGGCTCTGAGGGGCTTCCTTCCCAAGCTCTGATTAGACCTGTATTTTATTTCTAGGTTTTCTGTGCAGATGAACCTTAGGACCTTTGCTTCTAGTGGCCTAATATACTACATGACGCACCCCAAACAGGTTGATTTTGCAGCTCTTCAGTTACATGGAGGGAAGCTTTATTTCTCATTTGATCTTGGGAAAGGAAGGGCGGTAGCCTTTCACGGTGCAATCATCAGCGATGGAAAGTGGCATACAGTAAGTGCACCAAGTACTCTTGCACCAGCCTAATTTAGTGTGTATTAACAATGCAATCCAGCAGAGTTGCACCCATCTAAGCATATTAACTTCAGCCGACTTTGAAGGATGTGACTGCTTAGGATGGCACCTGCAAACACTGTTAGCCAAATTGCTATATTTCTTTAATAAAAGGTTGGGGAATTATGATATTAATATGCAATTGGCATAACTATAGGATCAGACCTGTGTATACCAGAGTTAGAATTCCCAAGAACCCAAGAATAGACACAGAGACTGGGTGGCTAAAATAATGATTTCTTTACTAAATATTCTCAAGCACACAAACAATAATTAAACATTCATGCACACAATACAGACTTAAGGGAACAGAGGTGATTGATAGCTAATGTAGGGGTTATTGGGTGATACTACCTGTCCAGATGTGTAGAGGTCCATGAAGAAAGGATTATGGCTCAAAACCCAAAGGGTTTTAGGGGTGGGCTGCCAGTTGGCATCAGGGCAGAAGCACATGGTCTAAGGCCATGTGTTTGCTGGGATATAGTCATTGGCAAACAATGCAGACCAATGGGCGGCCCTGGGGGCTGGTCTCAGGTGAGAACAATAGATGACCTGGACCAATGATGAGTCCCAGGGGTGTGTGGCATCAGGATGGGCAAGGCCTGGATGTAACCAATGAAGTTCCAGAGAGGCAGGGTCAGGCTATGCTGATTTTTGACAGTATCTTGATTGGATTAGCTAGGTGCTGAGTGGCTAGTTGAATGGATTATCTGACCACTAATGATCCTGGCCAAGGCAGTTGAATAGGTTTCCAAATATAGACAAAAGGTGGGTGATGAGTCTCTGATTAGCGTCAGGAAGGATTGCTAAACATTTGAATGATTGATTGGTTTATTCCGGTATCCTGAGGGACGGAGCAGGAAAGACAAAGAATTTACACATAGACACAGGACGACACAAAAGGGTTGAGTGAGGTACTGGAGAGAAGAGGACTATTTGCCAGGTGGCCTCTGAATAGACTTTAGAAATGTAGATACTTCACCTGGGGGAACCCATTGTCTTTCCATAAGCATCTCTTTGCTGGGTGGAGGGGAAGGCTGGAGGCTTGCTTTGAGGTTGCCTGTCACCTGAAAATGGAGACCCCTTTTTCAGAGCTGTGGCTAGCTCTGTCTTTCAGAACCAGGAGTGCCTTCCTTGGCTTGAGTTTTGTGGGTCTCTGGGTCAGGTTAGAAAGTGGGGTGCCCCCGCTTTGGGGCTATCCAAGAGTAAAAGGCAGTGCCTCTGGCAACAGCACATCCAAGGCAAAATTTGCAACAACAAAAATGTGCTTATTCATGGAAGCATGAAGAAATTACCCAGGGGTCATGCAAATCTAAGACAATATAAAGATTCTATCTTTAATGTGATGCTTTTCAGTCTTTCTGTCAATGGTGACTTACAAATACTGTATCTTATCTTTCAGGTGAAGACAGAGTATGCTAAGAGGAGAGGTGTAATCATAGTGGATGGACAGGAATCTGCAGGTGTAAATGTTCCAGGAGATGGAATCACACTGGATGTGGATGGGAAGCTGTATCTAGGGGGTCTGCCCTTAGATTACAGAGCCAAAAATACTGGAAATGTAAAAAATCTTTTCAACTTGAGGGTCCTTATGTGCTGTATTTGCATGTAGATCAGACTGAACTTTTAACACCCTGTGAGAGAAGAAGGATTTACAGTGATGTGCTGAAATGCACGATCCATGTGAAGAATTGTGGGACACAAATATTTTACCTTGTGATAATAGCCAACACAAAGAGAGATTTAAAATGCCCTCTGTGTTTTAGCTTGCTTTTTTGGGGGGGGGCATGAAAAGTTGGTGCCTCTGTAGTTTTGCTTATCCCTTTTGCTTCATTGGGTTGAAATGTATGTCAGTCCTCTGTGTCTATAATTTAGGTCCCTTTCACACCAAGACTTCTATCCCTTTAAAAAAATATATCTGTTGATGCCTCATATTTGTCTGATCTGATGTGTGAAATAATAGTTGAAAAAGATGATGGTATGATCAGGGATTTCTGTCTAAACTTAGACACTGCAATGTCTGAAAAAATCAAGGATGGCATCCCCAGACTCCATAATTATCAGGCTCCTGTTTGCAGTCAAAACAGCATTACGTTGAATGGTGCCAGGAGTGTCTCTTTTTACCGTTTGTGCACATCTTGAATGCATGCACCAATTCGTTACTTTCTCTGCACTAATAACTGTGTAGATTGACCTTGTCTACAGAGAATTATTGCTTGGAAGCAGTGTGGCTGTGTGTGTGTATGTCTGTAACGTGGTAACCATGGCACTGAATTGTTTTTGCAGATTACTCACAGTATCCCTGCATGTATTGGTGAAGTAACCATTAACAGTAAGCAGCTGGACAGAGAGAGTCTGGTCTCCAGCTTTGCTGTGAATAAATGCTATGCAACAGCTCAGGAAGGAACTTTTTTTGATGGAAATGGTTTTGCTGCTCTAGGTAAGGAAAGGGTTGTCTTTAGGAAATAGTGTGAGGTAGAATAACTTTAGGGGGTGTTGGCAAGTAGGCCTGCTCTGTATTTTCTGGTGTTTTATAGGTTTTTAAATGGATGTGAAGTTGTATTGTTTTTAGCTATTATTCCTTCATGGGAATAAGGTAGTTTAAACATTTTCAAAGTCATAATGTGGAATAAACATAACAAACCAACATTTCATTATTTCATATTGCATTGATTATCTGCCTCCCTTATTTCCAGTTCTGTCCTTTAGCTAATTATTTGCTGGCGGGATGGATGGGAAACTTTTTGTCACCCAACTGTTGTCTAGGTGAGAAATACAACTGCTGCATTAGTTGCATGTATGCATATGGATCAGAAAAGGAGAAAGTAGTTTTATTTTAATAGAGGAACAATGGAAAGTCACAGAAATGTCATGTAAAGCAAATTGGAAGTTACTTCAGTTTATTCTTCCTTTTGCAAAACCAAACCATGTTTTGTTTTGTTTTAGTTAAAGAGGGCTATAAAGTTCGTTCTGATGTTAATATCACATTTGAATTCCGCACCACTTCTGCAAATGGAGTTCTCCTTGGAATTAGTAGTGCGAAAGTAGATGCCATTGGGCTAGAGATTGTAAATGGCAAGGTAAGTCTGAGCTTATAAAACATTAAAAAATGAGCATATGCTTATAGATAAAACTTGAAAAATCTGGCAGATATACGCATATGTAGTATGCAATGTTTGAAGGAAACTATGGCAATTATTAATGTTTTATAACATAACCAGAAGATTGTGATTGTGTAAAATTTAACCTACTACACTATGTAATGTTCAGTATTCCTGTCCATGTTTTTAATATTTATGTAATGCACTAAAAGAAATTGTCTGAATTTTTGGAGTAGGGTGCCGTCAATATGTTGATGACACCCAGTTCTTCATATCTTTAACTAAACCACCAGAATTAATGATCTCTTGCTAGAGCCAGTTTGGTATAGTGGTTAAGTTCGCGGACTCTAATCTGGGAGAACCGAGTTTGATTCCCCACTCCTCTACTAGCACCTGCTGGATGACCTTGAACAAGCCATAGTTCTCTCCTCAAAGCTGTTCTTGAAAGGGCAGTTCTGGAAAGCGCTCTCTTAGCCCCGCCTACCTCACAGGGTGTCTGTTGTGGGGAGGGGAAGGTTAAGGAGTTTGTAAGCCGCTCTGAGACTCCCAAGTGAAGGGCAGGGTATAAATCCAATCTCTTCTTCTCTTCTTCTTCTTGTGGCTGTGGTTAGGGGGCTAAGGGAGAACACACTGAAATTGAAGCCAGATGAGATGGAGGTGATGGTGCTGACAAGGAATTGACTTGGATGGTGCCAGTTTCGTGTAGTGGTTAAGTGTGCGGACTCTAATCTGGGAGAACTGGGTTTGATTTCCCACTCCTCCACTTGCACCTGCTGGATGACCTTGGGCAAGCCATAGTTCTGTCAGAGCTGTTCTTTCAAGGACAGTTCTGGAAAGAGCTCTCTCAGCCCCACCTACCTCACAGGGTGTCTGTTATGGGGAGGGGAAAGGAAAGGAGTTTATTGCAATATGCTCTGCATTGGTCTACCTCAATTATTATCTAGAGCAATTTGCAATGTTACTTATTTAAAGAACATTGCATTTGTTACCAATTTTTCTCCTTAGTCTGAAGATGCTGATTCATAGCTGTGAAGCTCTTCCTTACCATATTTACATGTTCCAGTCTTCTGACTGGGGTCTCCTTTCTAAACCTTCTCTCAGTTTTGTTAAAACTGCTGCTTTTTAGTACTGAGTATTCTGACCAGGGGCTGCCCACTTAATTATTTTTAGGAAGCAGTCTAAGTTGGAAGTGTTTAACAGATTAATGGAGAACAGAGCTGTTCTGTATTTTCTGGTAGCAACGAGTGTTTTAATTGTTTTTAACTGGTATTAATTTGTATTGTTTTGTTAATTAGCCACTTTGAATCCTTCACAGGAAAAAGGCAGAATGAAAATGGCTTAAATAAATAAATAAGCTGCTGTGTGCATACTATTATGAGTGAGGGGTTTTCCTGTTAATGAATCTGATTTAATGCTTGTGATACATCAGCTGACTCTGCAGCTTTCTCTTCAATTGTACAAGAAACCAACCATAATGCAAGGAACAATTCCTTGTGGGCTTTAAGAGGAACTGTGGGTACTAAAATGATAAAAAGAAGAAGAAAGGGTTAAAAATATGAGAAATCTAAAAATTAATTACCTTATTTAGACCCTTTCAGCTGGCTTGCCTAATAATACATTGCTGATGAAGGAAAACATAAACGATTTAAAAAATAATCTAAACATCTCTAAATATTATTTCAACCAAAGCATCTTCTAAGTGCTATTTTTGGTTACTTGGAATATTTTCCACTGATTGGAGTTTTCTCTACCTCTCTTGCCTCTTTTGTTATCTCTGGGGGGAGAGAATAGGCTTTTTAAACATATTTTAAGGAGGAAAGCTTTGAGTCTGTCAGGCTCATTCATAGAATTGACCAGAAAAGAATAGTTTCATGATTTCCCCCCTTCAGACTTCATGGATATCGTTTGGAAACATTTCACTCTGTAATCTGCCTTCAGTGTCAGTGAGAAAGGCAGACTATAAGTAATGTAAATAAATAATTATAACAATAAAATAAACTCCATTTCCCATCCTGGTAAGTCAGGGGACTGGGTAGGGACTTTGGAGACTCCCCAGCTGTGTGATACCTCCCACTAACTAGACTAGTTAGTGAACAGTTATGTAGTCATGCTATCGAGCCCACACTAGCCAGTGCTAGATCCTTTCATGTACAAAAATACTCAGTAAACCTGTCTGATTGGTGAGTCTGTTTCCCAGATTTTTAGATGGAACAGGCATACATTGTCACTACTAGGAAATCACAATTTCTTGGATGGCAGGAGACAGGATTAAGATGTTTCTGTTTTGGCTTGAAAAAATAGCTAAAAAGGGGGACTGTCCTGTGAAAGGAGCCCTTCCCTCAACAAACAAACAAAAGATAGACAATACAAGACAATTACTATTAGGAATGAGCACGAACCAGAAAAATGTGGTTTGTGGCCCAACCACAATCCAAATTGAACCAGAAGGTTCATTTGTGAATCAAACTGCTTTGTGGTTCATGGCCCTGCAAGCCCCATTGAAAGGGACCACACAGTTCATTTAAACGGGGTTTGCATTATGATTGGTTTCCTCTACCTGGGCTAACCAAATGTTAAGCCAGATACCAGAGGTAACATTAGTCTTGCTGTAGAATCCAGTTTTATGGGGATTCTCTTTATTTGACTCCTCCATAATATGAAGGATTTGCCTGTATGAATATTCCATTTCCTCAGGTTTCCGTTTGAATCCAGTGTTTTCTCATGTGACTTCCACCATGGTTTCATGTTCCAATTCTCCTAAAGGCAAGGCATGCCTTTAGCCTGGATTAGAAATTAAGTGGCTGAGGAGGAGGCAAGAAAAGACAAAAGGGGTGGTGTACCTTAACTTTTGATCTTCTCAAAAGGGTGCAGAGTCACCCTGCCAAGTCAAAACAAAATCTAGCAAGTTGTTTGAATGATGTTATTGATTCACAGTGGGGACTTATTTTATATTCTGCCATGGTTATTATTAGGGGTGTGCATGGGGAAAAAATATCGGTATTTTTTGGTTCGGGTAAACCAAACCTGAAATATATCGGTAAATGCCAATACTCCCGAATCCCAGTATTGGTATTATACTGGGATTCAGGAAATACTCAGCATTGCTGAAAATATTCAGCTGTAACTTGAGCTGTGTCAGTTTCACTGCCCCTCTGCTTCCAAGCCAGGCAGTGAAACTGACCTGCTCTCCCACCCATTTGCTTCCCCAGCCGGCCTGCCAAGCCAGGCCAGTTGGAGAAATAAAAAGAGATTGGGGAGGAAACTTTAAACACCTCCCCTTTGCTCCCCCAGACAGCCTGCCAAGGTGCACTGGCTGGGGAAATAAAGAGAAGGCATTTAAAGATACCTCCCCAATCTTCCTTTGCTTCCCCAGCTGCCTCCCAAGGGGCACTGGCTGGGGAAGCAAAAAAGGAGGGAGGCATCTTTAAAAGCCTCCCCTCCGCTTCCCTAGCCAAGGCAGACTGGCAGTGAAAGCAAAGAGAGTCTCTCTGGAGTCACGCCACTGCAGCGACACAATCTCCCATTGTATTCTATGGCCCCAAAAGGTACAATGGAGTGATTGTGCCGCTGCTGCAGCGCAACTCCAGAGAGAAGTGGGTTAAACTTTAAACCCCTTTTCTCTGGAGTCGCACCACAGCAGTGTCATGATCTTTCCATTGTATTCTGTGAGGCCATGGGATACACTAAGAGATTGTGCTGCCGCTGTGGCGTGACTCCAGAAAGAAGGGGTTTAAAGTTGAAACTCCTTTTCTCTGGAATCGCAACACAGCGGTGGCACGATCACTCCATTGTACCTTATGGGACCATAGGATATGGGTTTAAACTTTAAACCCCTTCTCTTTTTGCTTCTCCCGCCTGCCCGCCTTGACAGGTCGGCTGGGGAAGGGGAGGGGAGGCTTTTAAAGATGCCTCCCACCCCGACCTTTCTTTGCTTCTCCAGCCAGCCTTCCAAGGCGTGCCTTTTTGCTTTCCCAGCTGGCCCAGCTGGCTCACCTTGGCAGGCTGGCTGGGGAAGCAAAGAAAGGTCAGGGAGTGCACTAAGCAAAGCACAAAGGGGCACTAAGCAAAATAAACAAAAGGAAAGTTATTAATGAAATATTTCCAATCCATGGTTTGTATCTCTGGTTTCTGTTACTTGTATATCTTTGGCTTCATTTCCCCTCTGTCGTCCTTCATGGCAAAATACACAGGAGAGACAGCTCCCCTATGCAACCCAAAATGAATGAACTGCAGACAAAGGACAGCTCCCCTTTTCGGATCCTGCCCCATGTGTACTCCAGGGCCCTTAGACAATCTGGATGCCAGTCCTGGCGCTCAAGCTTGCCAGAGCATGGACCTTCCAATCCAGAGGTATTAACACATCTCCCTGTCAGTTGGAAAGTATGCTTACTATCTGGAGAAGAGCACCTTTACCAGTCACAGAGACACCAGTATCCCCTTCCTTCACCATAAGTGTCACAGCATCTCTTGCCCTCTGGGTCTTATCCATCACAGTTCAGTTAAAGGGAAGGTTAGAACTGGTTGGGTAAGGAGCTGGAAGCTTAAGCCTTTGTGTGGCAGAACAGAAGTCTGCTGCTGGATAGGAGAAAGTCAACTTGTAACAAAGAATTCTGAATGAATGAATAGAAATATGGTTCAAAAGTTTTAAAGTGTGTGAAAACATTGTAATCATCTATCTGAATCACTCCTATGTTGTGTTAAAGCCATAAATAAAAATTAGCTTCTTATTTGTTTAACCCTGTGGGGTGGATACGTATGGCTTCAGGGAAAGAAACACACACACACACACACAAGATCTCAGCCTATATATATTGCAATATGAATCAGGGTGGGTTTGATTTAAATCAAATTGATTTAATCACTGGTCAGTAAGACTCGATTTAAATCATGGTTTTCTACATAAAGGCTCATTCTTGCTGTCCTTAATATTTACAACCCAGATGAAGGTTTCATTTTACTATAAAAACTTTTCTAGTTATATCAGAAAATTACAATTAATAATTGGTTATTTACCACTTGAAATAGATAATCGTGAAATCATTGCAAGATGAACTATCTCCAGTTTAATAGGTTAATAATTCATATTTGGATAACTGTTCTGCTGTACTTAAATAAAACAGTTTAAACTGTTATTGTTAATTATTATTTTTCTCCTTCCAATAATCATTAACAGTAACCACTTAATTTGTTTTATCTAACTAAAATAATAACATTATATAGGATATGTATTCTTGTCGTTGCTTAAAAATCTCTGAGGACACACTAATTATTATTTTTAGATTTCTGGAGTATTCTGCTCAGAACGTTTCACTTTTTTTTGGTACTGCTTGCCCCTCCCTCCTCACACTTAGCTCTTAACTTCTCTTCCTTATCCAGACCTAAAAGGTAAAGCCTTTGACAACATATTGGTAAAGGTAAAGGTTTCCCTTGCTTGAAAGCTAGTCGAATCTGACTCTAGGGGGCGGTGCTCATTTCCATTTTCAAGCCGGTGCTGTCCGAAGATGTTTCCGTGGTCATGTGGCCAGCATGACTAAATGCTGAGGCACACGGAACGCTTTACCTTCCCACCAAAGCAGTACCTGTTTATCTACTTGCAATTTCTTGCTTTCAAACTGCTAGGTTGACAGGAGCTGGGGGCAGAGACGGGAGCTCATTCTGTCATGCGGCACTAGGGACTCGAACTGCCAAACTACAGACTTTCCGGTCTGCAGCTCAGTGTCTTAACCTCTGAGCCACTGTGGCCAACTATCTAGACCTATTCCACCCCATACACTCTTATATTCATTGAACTTCTTGAGACTTAGCACTTAAGAAGTAAGAGGTTGATTCTATGTTCATAGATTTGCAGAGGACCAATAGGTCTCTTAACTCTATATGTTTATTTTATAACATTTTTGCTTTGAAAAAGAGGTATGTTATTGCTACAGACACAAATTCACAGTTTTGAGAACTGCCGAACCAAGCATGTGTGATAATATCTTCTAGATAGAAATATTGACCAAAATAATCGTACAGAAATGTCTGGGAGAGCATTACATTGTGAATGGATTAACGGAATTCATTTACCAAAAAAATTAAACATTGCATGAATATACAGCATCATGCTACATAATTAAAAACTAATCTGTATTTCATGATGAATAACCTTTGTACTATATCTTATATAGAAAACTATCTTAAGATAGACTTTTTCCTCAAAAAGCATTCTATTAAAACCGATTTAAATAAAAAATCTGATTTTTATTTTTTTTTAAATCACTGGTTTTTATCCGCTCTGATATGGATGAATGGTGGCTGTGTGGGACTGAAGCAGCATTTGAGTCCCAGCCCCAGTAGTTCTGTGAAGTGTCTGAGTGAGAGGTGATTAATAAAGGGAACTGAGCTACCCTGTCTGGTAATGTCTTTGTAGGAAAGAGGGGACCCGGTGTGAGAAAGGGTCAGGAATTTCTGTATATTTAAAAGGGACAAGACAGGTTGAGAATTATAACTGTCTGAACTACTGTTAAGTCCGCACTTAACAAAGTAGTCAGAGAGTGATTTCAGAAAACTCAGGTTTATTCAGCTCTTCAATCGACTTCTTCTGACACGGTACAACTCTTGATAGCCCGAACATTTGTCATCTGACAACTCACACTTCATTGCAGCTAGTTCGGTATTTAAACACTTCGGGCTAATGTAGCCACACCTACTGTACATTAAACCAACCTATCAGGTTGTGTGCATGGACGACCAATCATAAGCGGTCCCGCTTACAAACATTCAAATCTGATTGGCCACAATACTTTTCGGCGCGAATCCCTGCCGAAGCTTGAAGCTTTGCATGGCTTCTCTATGGGAGGATTTACATACCTCCTAATGCATTCAGGCAGCATCTGAATACATTACAACTACCTGTATCCCTAAACCTGTGTGACAAAGGCTATGGAGGGTGGTAGGGTCTGTAAGGGAGTCACAGATGTGAACCCTGGCTTTTCCTGAAGCCATCAGTCTGCCTTCTGTGTGTCTTGAGAAGTATTTGGGTAGTTCACCATTGAGCTACTTAAATTAGTGGAGCGACACCAAAAGAAACATTGTTCTGTAACAGATCTTTTAAAACTACGTGAACCAGGCAACATTTAATGAGTTTGGACAAGATAAAAGGGTACTTTAATGGGAAGCACCACTCATTTTAATTGCACTTTCATTGAATCACTGGTGACAGTTTTCTCGCAACATCCTTTAGCAGTTTGTTAGGTTAAAGCACCATTTGCTCTCCTTGCCTTTGTCTTTACTGGCATTTGGTTATTTCACCTAGGTTTTATTCTGTGTCAACAATGGAGCTGGAAGAATAACAGCCACTTATGAATCAAAAGGCGTGGCTAGTTTGTGTGATGGGCAATGGCATAAGCTGCAAGCAAACAAAAGCAAGCATCAGATTACTTTGATAGTTGATGGAAACTTGGCTCAGACGGATAATCCACATACGCAGTCAACTTCTGCAGATACAAACAATCCCATTTATGTTGGGGGCTATCCTGGTATGTCATTCAGAATGTAAAAAGGGAAACGTTCACACCCTCTCTTTCCCTCTCTTGCTCTTATTTATTTCACTGACTAAAGTGTCAAGACAGCATAAAGATGGTTCTCTGGAAAGGAGAGGATTGTGAAAACATCTGGCACTGGGAACATAGTGTGATCTGTTTTCCCTCTCCATGGAACCCAAGGCAATCTTTAAGCAAAGAATAACCTGAGCATTAAAATGGCCCCAGAGAGAGACCCAAAGCTTCATACTCATTGGAGCTGTGGCTTTATTTGCTGTCCCATTATGTCCTCTTGTGTTTTCAGTCTGATGGGGGTTTCCCTAATGGCATCTAGTTTCTTAACCTTTGCTGTGCAAAAACACCCCAAAGTTATTGACTCTGAAGAAACAAGTCTAGTTGCATCCTCTGTATTCGAAATTTATTTTTGAAGAATTATTTGTGTTGTTTGTAATCCAGATTTCATTTGTCTAGTTTTAAGCCTCTATAGATACTAAAACAAGCTCACCATGTCGTTTCAATTTTTCCCCAGCTGATATAAAACAAAATTGCTTGTCCAGCAAGAGTTCATTCCAGGGCTGTTTGAGAAACCTCCTGCTGATAAAGAGCCAACAGGTGGAATCCTTTGACTTCAGTGAAGCCTTTGACCTCCATGGAGTTTTTCCACATTCCTGTCCAGGGGCTGAACACTAAACAACAGGGCAAAGTGTCTCTCTTGAGAGATGTTTCATCTGTTTGTAATGAAAACAGAATTTTTTAAAAGCTTGGTCTCACTGATTGCTACGTATCTTCCAACTCAGGACTCATCATTTTAGCCAGAACTTCTATGATGGCATTTTTAATTAAAGCCTCTCTGTACAACACATACCTCTGCTAAAACATTAACAGCATTAACTTGGTACTGTCTTTTATTGTTGGTGAAAGTTTTCTTTTATTAGATCGGTGTTTACAGTATATCTTCTGTTGAATACTTGACAATATTTCATTTGGTGTATATGGTTTTTTATAATAAAGTTGTAAAACTGAGGCCCCACACAGTAAAGCATGGCTTCATGGTTTTGTGTATATATTGCAACTGTTAAAAAGTAAGTCAACAAATGTTCCATTCAGGATACAACACAGAGGAATTCAGTAGGGAGCTAATAATACAATTGTTATTATATTCAGCCTATACTATTGCAGTAAAATGTGCCTGATCAGGATGAACCATTAATAATGCTGCTGGTATTGTATTCAGCGCAGAAAAGCAGCACAGCTGAAAGCTGAGTCAAGTCAGGTTCCAGAGCCTGATCTAGACTTGAAGTCAGGATACATAAAGAGATGCTATATGGGCATGGGTGGTAGAAGAATTCTTAGTGTATCTACAGTTAATGGGAGCATAGCAGTCATAATGTTAGGGCTAGTAGTGGTGCTGTGGATGAATGATTTATTATGGTGAAAGACTAGATGCAGTTTCAGAAATGTTTATATTAAAAAGTTACATAGATGATATTAAAAATAGCAAATATAGTTCATTAAACTTGCATTAAACTAGCAGCTGCACAAAATTAGGCAACTCTATCCATAAGGCAAGGCTGATGATCTGATGGAACAAGGGAAATATGATTTCTCTGTCATGGCTTTTGGAGGATATGAGTAAGGGAATCATATCTAAGATTGCATTAAAAAGGGCAATGCGGTAAATATGGCCAGCAGTTTGAAATTACTCACTTACATAAGGGTATATATGTCCCTGGAACAGTACACCATGATATCTCCCTTCTAAAAGTGCACAGGGTAGAACATTAAATCAAGCCAAAGTAAAAGCTGTTCTGTGTTTGGAAATTAGTAAATTAGCCAGGTAGTTAACACAAACTTGTCCTTGAAAATTGTGGTGCTGTGCATTTCCATGTCCATTCTTACAGATTAGTGAAAAAAGGACTTTAGTTTACTTGATCAGTAAATTCAGGTGGGTATCTGTGTTGGTCTGAAGCATCAGAACAAATTTTGAGTCCACTGGCACCTTTTATTCAAGGTAAAGAGAAGTGTGCCAGAATAGTCCTTCACATGAAATTTCTGCAACTATGGGCATATTGGAAAGCTGGAGAGAAGGCCAGTGAAGAGCCCTTCTCCCTGTTTTTAATCAAGATTATTGATGGTGTTCTGTTACAAGTGCTTTGCGGGCAGATGTAAGGAAATACTTTATAGCAACTGAGGACATTGATAAATTCAGAAAGCATAAATCTGTGACACAGTATAAACCTCTGATCTCATGACCTGGTATTATTGTTATGTGACATGGACCAGAACTTACACAAGGTGAGCCACTTGAACACCTCAGAGCCAAGACACCATGAAAAAAAAGCTAAAAAAAAAAATGAAAAAAAAAGCTCAAGGAAAGAAATATTATGGCAGTACTAATTTGGCCTGCTGAGAATCTATATATCTAATAGCAAAGCCGCCCCCTGTGTGCAGATATCTAAATCCGCACATCAGGGGCACCTGGGGGGGGCAGGGAGAGTTTCCTGCGCACATGGGGCAATGCCCAGGTGTGCAGAAAAATATGAAAAGTTGAAAAAAATATTTACATTACCTAAAAAGTAAAAATTAAAAGAACGTTCCCTGCACATGCATAGAGAATGGTCTGGGAACTGGCAGGCCGGCGGCTGGAAGGCGCTCAGGCCTCGCTGCTGGGGTGGGGGAAGGAGATTGGCGGGGCCCAAGGGGGGGGAGGAGATTGGGAGGCCTGAGCAGCCAGAAACCACTCGGACCTTGCCGCCGGAGGGGGGGGGGGGAGGGGAGCGGGAGGATGTGGGGGGGGAAGGAGAGCGGTGGGGCCTGAGGCGGGCTAGGGCTCCTTCCACCCTTCGACACAGCCCGCCCGCAAGAATGGGCCTCCTGGGTCCAGGGCGCCAAGTCCGCGCTAGAATTCTTCGACATCACCGACGAAGGCAAGAAGCGGGGATTTCTCCTGGCCTCCTGCGGCACCGCTGTGGTGTCCCTGGCCAGAAGGCTACTCTCCCCCACCAACCTTGGCAATTGCACATTCGAACAGAT